GCCTTCAGCACTAACAGTCACTAATACACAGTAGAGGTGTGTATTAGTGAACGAGGTGTTCCATAGAACCTTTCATACACACCCGGAGTTAAGATACACTTAGAATCTCGTCCCAGGCACAATAGATCAGAGGAGGGGAGATAGATACTCCAAAACTCCCCCGTGCCATCCCCAATAGATGAAGTAGAGAGGCCAGGATGTGCTTCAGCGCAATAAAGAGAAGCATTAAGCAGAGTCATGGCTGCTTGCCCGCCTTCACACACACACACACACACACCATGTATGGTAAGTACTGAGACGCCCTCGCAATCTCACATACCACCACACACACTTCCATATAATCATAACTTCAAAAATTACACCAATACACACACACACACACACACACACACACACACACATATATACACACACATATACACACACACACACACATATACACACACACACACACACACATATACACACACACACACACATATACACACACACACACACACACACATATATACATATATATATATATATATATATATATATATATATATATATATATATATATATATATATATATATATATATATATATATATATATATATATATATATATATATATATATATATATATATGCGAACAAGCCTGAATGGTCCCCAGGACTATATGCGAATGAATATTCGCATATAAATTGCCATTCTTATGTGAATGGCAATTCACATAAGAATAGAGCGACCTACCATGAACACCCAAATCACGGAACTATTTACTCTACCCACCATGAGAGTAAGGACAAGACAAGAACATATCGATGCCAACACAGAAGACAATGGCCAACATAACAGGCCAATTACACTGGATTAATCTTTGTGTTTAGATAGGAGATGCCTCGTATGGGCCAATAAGCCTTCTGCAGCCCCTATGTTTATCCCTTATGTATCCCCCCATGTTTTCACCTTCATTGTATTATCACCTGACCTAATGCGGGTATAAAATCAACTAGTATTGTAAGATCTGTTCACTTGAGAATGAACCATGGAGGTTCGAAACGTCGTGCAAATTATACAAATAAGTGTAATACACTCTATAGTAAATCACTTCTTTTCTTCACCTTAAGAGTACGAAAATGAGTTTTGGAGAACTCCTATTCCAATTAAGCCCTGATGCTAAGAAAATAGTTAGAGGGATAGAAGCCCTAAACCAGAAAATAATAAATACAGAATATGCGGCCATATTCAATGAAACATATATATATATATATATATATATATATATATATATATATATATATATATATATATATATATATATATATATTAATAAAATATAGTGTGTGTGTGTGTGTAAATCACGAAGAAATTAACACATGATGAACAATGTGAGTGTCAGACCACGAAGGAAAGATTAAGACAGGAATTTCCTTCAGCACTTTCGTGTTTAATACATCTTCAGAAGGATCCTTCTGATATATTATTAAATACGAGAGTACTTAAGGAAATTCCTGTCTTAATCCTTCGTGGTCTGCCACTGTCATGTGTTCATATAAATATACTTTCTGTACCTGACAGCAAAATTATTTCAGCATATATCTCTCTTGGGTTCTTTGAACCGGGTTCTACACAAATTGTGGGGTTCAAAAATGATTTAATACATATATATGTCCTGCATGAGCACCAAATTCCACACCGGTGTCGGATCTCTTGATCAACATGAACATAAATTCTGCCGCACTCTGGGACTGAGAGCCGTGCACAGGCGGTCTCCTTATGAATTCAGTGCGGCGCCTGTCTCGGCCTTCCTGACGCCATCGACAGGAACCAGCCCTCACCTGTCTGTTCCAGATCACCTCAACCGGAACTTTCTGACCGCGGAAGCTGCTGTTGAAGACGAGCCTGGTGGTACAGGACGTCGGGGCTTGAATGTCGGCACGTAACTTGGTCCAGTCATGCAGGGAGGAATTATGGAGCCGTTTGGGTTCATGTTGGTCACATCCCTCTGGTGATACTGACCTACACTAACTCGGTGATGGTGCTATCACCACTGCTCTAGCTGTACCCAATTTGATGGGTATAAATTGGATAAGTTTAGATTTAGGAAAGACTTGGGTAAATACTGGCTCGGTAACAGGGTTGTTGATTTGTGGAACCAATTACCGCGTAACATAACGGAAGTAGGATCCATTGATTGTTTCAAGCGTAGGTTAGATATATGATCTCATATATCTAGATATAGGTTAGATATATGATCTCATATATCTAGATATAGGTTAGATATATGATCTCATATGCGAACAAGCCTGAATGGTCCCCAGGACTATATGCAACTGCTGATCATATATATGATCTCATATATCTAGATCATATAGATATATGACCTCAACCTCATATATGAATTAGATTGGATGGATATAAATAGGAACAGTCTCGTATGGGCCAATACGAGATAACATAAGCCTTCTGCAGTTACCTTCATTTCTATGTTCTTCGTATGTATGTAATATGTATATATTTATGTATATATGTTTCCAATGTTGAAAATGTTGGGAAAGCATTTCCAACATGTCATTTCCTTCCGGTGGAGTCGTAAGCCAGATTTTGTTGCTGGATATGACCTTAGGACTAGTGACTGACCGATATTCCAATACACATCCGAAAATTTACATATAGCAGATTCAACTATCATACCGAATTAACATGATCTAGACTGGTTGGTATGAAGGGGCCTGTGGCTGTCTTGAGCAGAAAAGTAGCACATCCTGGTAGGAAATATCTCAGATTCCCTATTTTATGGTACGCCATATATAGACACGTACCTGGACACTGCCCCCTCGTCCGTGCCTGTCGACCGCTGACACACCGTCACTCACACTGACGAAGGTCAGCTTGAAGTTAGGTCACTGTTGACCAGACCACACACTAGATGGCGAAGGGACGACGACGTTTCGGTCCGTCCTGGACCATTCTCAAGTCGATTGTGATTCTCAATTCACAATCGACTTGAGAATGGATTTGGCATTTGTGGCTTCGACGGGTAGGCGGTTCCACGAGTTTACAACCCTGTGGGTGTAAAAGCATATGTTTTCTGTCCTATATTGTGGCTTGTTGAGTTTGAAACCCGTTGATCCTTGTTTGTGTTACATCTGACCTTCTGAAGAAGTCGTCTGGAACAATATCTTCCAAATTCTTCAATATATTAGCAAGTTTCGATGAGATCAGCCCTGTCATGCCTGGTTTGCAGTGTTGTTAGCCCTGAGGTAATCAACATGTCTAACCTACGCTTGAAACAATCCTGCGATCCCACACCTGTTTATATCGATCCATAAATCAACAATCTTGTTTCCAAACCTGTTCCCCCAACCCACACACACACGCATTCTGAGTCTCATCTGCTACACCTGTGTACACACCTGTTGGGGCTGTCTACAGTGAGTCCCCCCGTCAAAAGACTTTGCTAAGCTAAATTAATTTTGTCTTTCGGTCCCTGAGCCCATTATGTGCCTCTGTAACCCTTTCCACCACCTCCCATAGGTTGGGTATGGGATGCATAATAAGTGAACTACAATATGTATATGTACGCTGGCTGCCTGTCCCCCGACACAATGGATTACTATTATTATTAAATAAGTATTGTATTGGTAGAATTAGTGTTGGCAGTAGGGAAAATAATAGTTTACTATTGATATTGTATATCCCCTAACTATTTTCTATTATAACTTTATAAAAGAAAACGTATCTTTTTTATGGGTGTCTTATTAATTATTGAGAGCGCTCAAAAAAAAACACACACACACACACACTTTAAAAATTAAAAAAAAAAAATCTCATAAAGCAAGAGATCTAGGGTGTGGTTCTAGATTAAGATTGGTGTCTATTAATCTTGTTTAAATTACCAATCAAGCTGTCAATGTAATCAATCAGAGCTTTAATATACCAATGTGCTTTAATATACTTACTAATCTCTCTCATCTCATTTTTTCTTGCAATGTATTTGTTATCATTTTATTAATTCTGCTAGAATTTACCTACTTAAAATTATCTGTTAGATTAAGGTCCTGCCCGAAACGCTGCACGTACTAGTGGCTTTACAAGAATGTAAATACTATTCTATGTATTCTCACAAACCCAATGTACCTTCTTGTATATAAATAAATAAATAAATAAATAAATAAATAAATAAATAGGCAGCAGTTGTATGGTGCCCAAATCTTAAGCGGCACATCAACAAATTAGAAAATGTGCAAAGACACAACACTAAATACCTTCTGGAACCGGAAGACATGAGCTACAAGGAGATTTTAGAAGCATTGAATATGCCAAAAATAAATGATAAATGAAAAAGAGGCGATATGATCACTACGTAGGAAATACTAACCGGGATTCGACAAGATTGAAAACAAGAAATCCCTGAGACCTGGAATTTCAAGAACAAGAGGTCATAGATTTTAACTAACTACACAAAGCTGCCGACGAAATATAAGACATTTACATTCGCAAATCGTTTAACAACCAGGTACCCATTCCAACCCGTTCTCGCAAATTCGTAAAGTCAATATTGACTTATTAAATATGTGCATAGGTGACATACTTAACATAATAGATACCCTTAAAAAGATTCATAGAAAACACCGACCTTACCTAACCTTGTTAGTATCTTAAGATAAGCATCTTAAGATAAGTACTGAGAGGAGAGAGAGGTTGATATAGTTGCCATTTTTTCTTAAAAGAGTAGCACTGAGGCCAACCCTAACAGGGTTATAAAACTCCCTTAGCCCTGGGGTCTAGGAGACTCGAACCGTGGACCACACGCGTGTGAGGCTGAAGCTCTATTCATCTTTCATATTTATCAAATTCATTTTTATACATCTTTTATACATTATACATTTATCATTTATACATTCTGGCTCCCTGACTGGCCTCAGCGCCATCTATTGCTTGGATTGTCAACTGCACCCCGCGCCATCTGTTGCCTGGACGACCAACTGGCCGCTCAGCCTCATTCTTAGCTGAGTAAATGTAAACAAAACATTTTTGTTGGGGAGAGTGACAGGTAGTTGTGTTGTTACCGGACCGGTAATGGCCAGGTGAGACCAGGGGAGGCCAGGGGAGACCAGGGGAGGCCAGGTGAGGCCAGTTAAGGCTAGGTGAGACCAGTTAAGATCAGGTGAGACCAGTTAAGACCAGGTGAGACCAGTTAAGACCAGGTAAGGCCAGGTGAGACCAGGTAGGGCCAAGTAAGGCCAGGTGCCTTACTTGGCACCTAGTTTACTTAGCCCTTGACAAAAATGAGTTAACGATTGTACTCTTCATTGACCTGAGAAAGTCCTTTGATACTGTTAATCACAATTACCTCTTACGTAAACTCCATCATTATGGAATCCGAGGCCATGCACTGGACTATATCCAATCCTATCTTAGTGATAGACACCAGTGTGTAGCCATCAATAATAGAACTTCTCCCACTTTACCAATAACCGTTGGAGTGCCACAGGGCAGCATCTTGGGACCTCTCCTATTTCTTATATACAGTACATCAATGATCTGCCTAATGGAATGGCAATGATCTGCCTTAAGGTAGATATAACTGAGGAAAATTAGATTGGTTAGAAAGGCGGGGTCCTTTCCTTTTAATATTAAATACACACATGCACACACTTCTCAATTTAGGGGGGCCTCACGGCTGAGTGAACAGCGCACGGGGGTCGTAGTCCTAAGGGCTTACAAAGACCCTTCAAGCCCGGGTCGAGGCTTGACTTGTGAGAGCTTGGTCCACCAGTTGTTGTTATTACTGAACTTCTAACTTTATGACATTGACACGTGAGAACACTGACCAACTGTGGTTGTGAGTGGTGGTGATCTCGTCCCCATTTACTACATCAATATTAACAACGAATGTTGATAATATTGATTACGAATTTACAATGAATTTACAGTCTCCGTGGTGTAGCGGTAAGACACTCGCCTGGCGTTCCGCGAGCGCTATGTCATGGGTTCGTATCCTGGCCGGGGAGGATTTACTGGGCGCAATTCCTTAACTGTAGCCTCTGTTTAACGCAACAGTAAAATGTGTACTTGGATGAAAAAACGATTCTTCGCGGCAGGGGATCGTATTCCAGGGACCATAGGATTAAGGACTTGCCCGAAACGCTACGCGTACTAGTGGCTGTACAAGAATGTAACAACTCTTGTATATGTCTAAAAAAAAAAAAAAAAATATTCTGAAGCCAATATTGTTTGCTGATGATACTACCCTCATCTACTCTAACCCCAACCCACATACACTAAATAATGTTGTTAATAATGAACTAAAAAAAAAGTCCACTTATGGATGTCAACCAACAAACTATCACTTAACATAGAAAAGACGTACTACATCTTATTTGGAAGCAAATCTACAAATGCAATTCAGCTTCAGATAGACAATGTAAACATTAGCAATAAAAATGATGGAAAGTTTCTTGGCCTATTCCTAGACAAGAGACTCAACTTCAGTACCCACATACAACACATAACTAAGAAAGTCTCTAAAACAGTTGGTATACTCTCCAAAATCAGATATTATGTACCTAACTCTGCTCTCATCTCTTTATATTATGCACTAATCTATCCCTATCTTAATTATGGTATCTGTGCATGGGGTTCAACCACTGCAAACCACCTCAAGTCCATCATCACCCAGCAAAAATCTGCTATCAGAATAATAACAAATTCTGCTTTCAGACAACACTCAGCCCCCTTGTTTAACTCCCTAAACATGCTAAACATAATCTCACTCCACAAATTCTCTTGTGTCAACTACATTTACAAAACCCTGTTCTTAAATGCAAATCCTGCTCTGAAACTCTCCCTGGACAGATGTAATAGGACCCATTATCACCACACCAGAAATAAATATCTCTTCGATATCCCCAGAGTCAAACTTAATCTGTGTAAACACTATGCAAGTAAAGGGACCCAATCTATGGAACTCACTCCCTAATGAATTGAAAAGCTGTCCAACTTTTGCGTCATTCAAAAACAAAACTAAAAAGTACCAACAGTAATTTAATCTTCATAGTTTTTTACCTTGTTGCTTTAAAATTACACTGTATCTATTACTGCCCAATCTCATAATCTTCATGTACCCAATCCAAACATCTTTACCATTGTGATCATTGCTGTCTTCTTATATGTGCTATCAATCTGCTGTATGGTGTCTATTAATCCTGTTTAAATTACCAATCAAGCTGTCAATCAATCAAAGCTTTAATATACCAATGTGGTTTAATATACTTGCTAATCTCTCTCATCTCATTTTTTTCTTGCAATGTATCTGTTATCATTTTATTAATTCTGCTAGAATTTACCTACTTAAAATTATCTGTTAGATTAAGGACCTGCCCGAAACACTGTGCATAATAGTGGCTTTACAAGATTGTAAATACTATGCTATGTATCCTCACAAACCCAATGTACCTTCTTGTATATAAATAAATAAATAAATAAATAAATAAATAAGGTGAGAACAGGTTAGGCCAGGTGAGAACAGGTTAGGCCAGGTGTGAACAGGTGAGAACAGGTAAGGCCAGGTGAGAACAGGTAAGGCCATTTGTTGAGTGAGACCAGTTTAGGCATTTCATAATTAGGCAAGACCAGATGATATTAGGTAGGGGCCCGAGCTGAGACCTGGCCCCTTACATTAATTGTAAGTAAATAAGTAAACGTTAATTGTCTTTTTTTGAGACGCTGTTCACTTGAGACAGTCAAGTCCCAGCCGTGTCTGGGTATACGTTAGTACAGTATATCTAACTTCAGTAAACAGTTTGTTTTTTTAACAGGGAGGATATTCTGTTCTAATATAATATAGAGTATTTTTTCTTGAATTGTTCAATGTCTTACAGAGATGTCGCTGTTCAAAGCACGAGACTGGTGGTCAACGGTGGTGGAAGGAGAGGAAGGTGCAGAGGAAGAGTGTGATGTGGGCTGCTTAGTCATTGCAAACATCAATAATGAAAAGCCACCTAAGGACAAGATCGTGGTGGGCGGATTCTCCGGTACCCTCAGGGTTTTCTTCCCTCAGGTGAGCATCTCCAACGTGTTTATGTATGGAGCTGCCATGATACATTTTCTTATAAATATAAGGTTGAAGAGTGAAAATGTTAGAGAGGAATCTGCAGTGATGATACAACCTCTTCTTTCAAATACTTGTAGTACATTGCTTTTTGACATACAATTTCCTGTTTTCTGGTACTCAAAAGACCCCCAAAGGGGTTGCGACCTGGATACGGTCAGTGGGTAAAATGTTGTGGGCCAGGTACTCTGTGTGCTGTTATTAGGTATTAGTAGTAGTAGTAGTATTGTTTGTTATTCTGATTTATGGGGTAATGCTCCAGTTAACATTTTTCATCTACAGTCTTTCGTGCAAGAAAGTGGAGAGGAAATTTCCGGGTATCGTGCTGACCATGTGCTGCTGGAGACCACACTTAGTTACCCGATTCTACAGTTGGCTGTGGGCAGATTTACCTCGTAAGGCTTTGACTGATCTTCTGGTTTATTTGGAAACTGTATAGTACTCTGCAACGTATTTCAATTTACCTAGACTCTAAAAGTGCCCCAGTCTTATTGTAATTATGCTGCTCCTTTTTTTACCATGATGTACTCTCATTACTGAAAGTACTGTCAGGTACTTTTATGGTCATGTCACATCCAGGAGCCTAGATACAGTACTGTAACACCACACACCTTGATAACTATACCACTGTCAGGTACCGAGGTACAGGCGCCTCGCTGCCAGGCACCGAGGTACAGGCGCCTCGCTGTCAGTTATCTAGGTACGGTCACCTCACTGTCAGGTACCTAGGTACAGTCACCTCACTGCCAGGTACCTAGGTACGGTCACCTCACTGCCAGGTACCTAGGTATGGTCACCTCACTGCCAGGTACCTAGGTATGGTCACCTCACTGCCAGGTACCTAGGTATGGTCACCTCACTGCCAGGTACCTAGGTACAGTCACCACACTGTCAGGTATCAACACATTCATGCCTTCATATTTTCCCTCTAAAATTATCCAAATCTTTGTTTGAAACACAAGGGCCCTACTTTCTATGGACGGATTGGATCAGCCAGGATGCAGGAAAATACACTCGTGTAATTTGCATGCAGTCCAAGTGGCTCTTCAGCCAGTTTTCACTTTTTTACTATTCTGCCACATCTATATTGCAAATTCGTGGTTCTATATGAACATTAATTTGTTGAATACATATGTGTACTGTATAAGCTCTACTCAAAGCTTCTGATTTAAGATTCTGATTAAGATTTAAGATTATCTGATTCTGATTTAAAGTTATTTAAACAACTAAATATTTATGTAGCTGTATACTGTAGCTACATGTGTTGTAGCTATTCTCTGCATACTGCCTTGGTACTCTATTCAAGAGTCATTGTCTCATTTCACACACCTCTTTTCATACAATACTATTATTTTTTTCTCTCCGAGCTAGGATGTACAATCTGACTTTCTGGAAAATGCCCATTGCCTCAAAAGTCATTTTATTGCCTAATTTGCTGCTTATATTTTCATGTGCAATAGTCATACATGTCTGCAGATTTTACTTGTATCATATTTATGCTTTTGTAAATGCTTTTTACTCTGAAATATAGATGAAGCTTGATTTTAGACATTGGAATACTGTATATAAATTGCAGTATTTTCATTAAATGTATAGCATGATTTATGAATTATGAGCCATTCACAAAGATCTAATTTGCCTTAATTCTTATTAACCTTGTTACTTAATACAGTTCACTCCAGGTTTTATATGTGATGATTTAACACAAATCAAATCTGCACGAGGTCAAGATTTTTACCACTTACTATAATTGGTTTCCTGTTGTCACTCTTCATCTTGTGTGAGTTTGCACACAAAAGCTATACTCAAAGTACTAACTTGTACTTGTTTTGGTGTTCTAGTGTCAGCGACAGGAAGCCTATTAGACTTATTAAGGTTCCCCCCCCCCCCCTCTTCCCCCAATTAGTGACCTTCCCCAGAAGGCAACCCCTAGAAAAATTGCCCAACTCCTGGGTACTGATTTACTGCTAGGTGAACACATGCAGATAGTTGACTATACAATATTTGTCATTAATTTGTCAAGTCTAATATTTTTCTTTGAGAGCTCAGAAATTATAATCAAATTAATTTCATTTCATTTCATTTTACAGGAGTAATGACTTGAACCACCTGTGTGTCCTCCATCCTGACCGCCTTGCTGTATACACTGTCTCAGTGACCGCGGGTCAGGCTGGCCATGGTGACCACACACGTCTCGCCATTGCCTACCAACACAAACTTCAGCGGAATGCCCACTCCATGATTACAGGTGAAATTTCAGTCTTGAAAATTTATTTTTATTTTTGAGGGGCTGTCTCGGTGGTTTTCAGTGCTATACCATTGGAGCTGCCAGGCCTTAGAGAATTACACCAGGCTTTTTTATTTTCTTATTTTTATTTATATACAACTGTACAGGAAGGTACAGTGGGTTGTGTAAGTGCAGATTTTGGTGATTAAATGGTGTAGTCTTGCAAAGCCATTAAACAATACGGCATTTTGTGCAAGTCTTAGACCTAACACAAGCTTCGTAATGAACCTTTTTGTTGCAATTAGTAAGCAATCAATCTTAAAGAAATAAAACTGTTGATTGAGGTATAGAATGAAAAATTTTAGTAATTTGCTTTTTGGAAAGCTAGCTTCCTCTGTTGTACCGGCAGTGTGAATGAGCTTTTGGAGCCACTGAAGGGCTCCTTTCAGAAATCAAACATTAACTATAATGAAATATTTTTTTTCTGTAGGCCCCCAGAGGCTCCTGTCCATATAATTTTCCATGATGTTATGGGGTTTTGCACAAGAGGCTCCGGAGTGATGGGGCTAGCTGGCCAAATCCTCAGTGGCCTTGGCTGCCCTCTGATGGCAGTCAGATGAATCATAGTCGAGGTATTTATCCAGCAGTAAAGATTGTTTGCCTTAAGGGACCAAATTTCTGTCAAGCAGTCACTTGCTTTGTTGTGCTGAGCCCAACCACTTCAACTGGATGGTAGAGCGACGGTCTCGGTTCTTGCAGGTTGGGATTCAATTTCTGACCTCGTTCATGATATAGTTGGGCATCATTCCTCCTCTTTGTCCCATCCCAAATCCTTATCCTGTTTAAATGCTATATACTGTAATTTTAATGATGTAAATTATCAGGAGAAAACTACCTTTTCTTTTGTTATACCAATGCATTCTAGGTGTTTTCCGTACTGTGGCTGCCCTCTGATACCCTGGTACCCCCCTCCCGGCTCATAAGCTGAGCCAGCTTCTGATTGTTTGCTTCTGGTAGGCAACATATGGGTCTCGGAGGCCTAGTGTGTTGGGCTAAGGCTTCGTGATACCAGAGTTTAACTCGGGCAGCTACTGGGGCCCACCTGAAAAAAAAAAATTCATTTCATTCAGTACTCTATTTTTGACTAATCATATAACCTTGCATTGGTTCCGAGGATTAACGTTCCTGGGGCCCAGCCTCTGACCATGCCTTCTGATGCAATCATAGTTTGATTGTCATTCATATACTGTATATGTCTAGCCTACACTTGAAACAATCCCATGTTTGTTATGCTACCCAGTATTTTGTTCCATAAATCAATAACTCTATTGGCCCATACAAAGCACCTTCTATTTATATCCACTTAAATTCATTCGTATATTTATGTAACCTACACATGAAACAATCCAGAGATCTCGCATTTATTATGTTATCTTGAGGTTATCTTGAGATGATTTCGGGGCTTTAGTGTTCCCGCGGCCCGGTCCTCGACCAGGCCTCCACCCCCAGGAAGCAGCCCGTGACAGCTGACTAACACCCAGGTACCTATTTTACTGCTAGGTAACAGGGGCATAGGGTGAAAGAAACTCTGCCCATTGTTTCTCGCCGGCGTCCGGGATCGAACCCGGGACCACAGGATCACAAGTCCAGCGTGCTGTCCGCTCGGCCGACCGGCTCCACCAGTAATTTGTTACCCGGTAATTTATTCCATAAATCAACTACCCAGTTCCCAAACCTACTGTAATACTTCAAAATAACTGTAAGGTCTTGTGGAATTTTTAAGGAATATTAAAAAATTATTTTTTGCACTTTTCAGGATCTTTTGGAGGTGTGAAGGGAAAAGATTATATTGCTGTTCAGTCACTAGATGGCTGCATTACCGTCTTCGAACAAGAAAGCTTTGCATTCTCTAGTTTTCTTCCTGGGTTTTTGCTGCCTGGCCCTATAGCCTATGTTCCCAAGACTGACTCCCTCGTTACAGTGGGTTCTGACTGGTGCCTTCAGTGTTTCAAGTAAGGATTTTTGAGGCATTCGTAATAACGACACAGTGCAGAATATTTGTTCTTCCATAATTATCTTAAGTCTGTTTCACTATCACCCAACGTCTTCACTTAATGCCTTGCCACTTATTTCTTAGTTCGTTATGTTATTATTTTTAAAAGTTCAAAGCCATCCGCAACAAGTCTTTCAGCAGCATCAGGCCGCAGCTCAACCTCACGAACAGCAACGCAAGTTGAGCACTACTTTATGAACCAATTTATAGATCTCATTTCTGAAAATTCACCGTGGCTGTAAAATTCCTAACAATAGCAGAGTTTTCTTAGTTATTATTCCAATATTTTGTACAGTATATCTTTTGGGGGAAATAAAGATATTCCATTTTGTAATAACCTGGAACATTTCACAGATACCAAGCTGTGGCTGTGGCAGCAGACAATGAGAAAGATAGCATCAGTAAAGGAGGGAAGCGCCTGGCCCCAGAGTGGACACAGCAGCTGGGAGAACCAGCTTTAGATCTGTGTGTTCTGTCTCCACCAGATGGCCCCACAAGTGTTCTTGTCCTAGCCCACCATGCCGTCTTCTGCTTCAAGGAGTCTGGGGTCTTGAAATTTGTTAAGAAGCTCGAGTACAGTCCATCCTGCTTCATAGCTTTTATTGTTGGTATGTTGGCACTAAAGATATTGATTGTACAATTGGCTTCATTCTCGACGCACATTCAGGGATCCCGGGTTTAATTCCCAGGTGGGACAGAAATGGTTAGGCACTTTCCTTTTCACCTAATGTCTCTATTCACCTGGCAGTAAATAGGTAACCGGGAGTTGGGCAACCATTGTGGGGATGCATCCTCAAAAAGGGTCAGTAATTCGATGTTTGGGGGGCAGAGGACATTGGTAGAAGCCAGAAGTAAATTGTGCAAAATTGTCTGGTCAACAGTTTCTAATATATTTTTTGTTATGGCTCCAGACAATTACGTGCAAGTTTGTGTCGCCAGCCACACACAAAACTTGTTGGTGTACCAGGAGTCTGAGCTGAAGTGGGCATCACAATTACCTTTCGTTCCTGTTGCTCTGGCTCGGGCCAGCTTTCCGGTAAGTTTATATCTTACTTATTACAGAACCTTTTATTCTTATTGTCTTACAATACACTTGTTACAAAGTCACTTGTTACAAAGACTTTGATAAGAGTTTTGGAAATCCTAATTATGTGATTATAATGGTTTGTTTAGTAGTACTGTACAGTATTTAGTAAGTACAATACAGTACTTCAGATAAACACCGGTCGTAATGTGGTGTTTGAACAGTAGAATCTCGAATTATTTAATTATTTTTTTAATGTATATCAATGTCTTCACAAATGTGTTATGCATGTTAAGCCATTCACTCACACTCGTATTTCATACTGAAGATTTTCCATTTTGTGTGTTATACAATTATAGTATAGTACTAAGATTTCCTTATGAATTAGCTTCTTTGGGATACTTTCAATCTAAGGCTTCTCAGTTGCTCCATTAAATCAATGGCCTATATAGAGCCACAGAGATATATTCTTCCTAATAGGCTCCAACATCTTATTCAACCACCATGATCAGAAACATTCTAAATAGTCTGGTCATACAATTTGAGAAGTGAAACAGTGGTGATTAATTACAACTTGCTTCAGTATTTTTTCTTCATATCAGATGGGAGCCGGTCGGCCGAGCGGACAGCACGCTGGACTTGTGATCCTGTGGTCCTGGGTTCGATCCCAGGCGCCGGCGAGAAACATTGGGCAGAGTTTCTTTCACCCTATGCCCCTGTTATCTAGCAGTAAAATAGGTACCTGGGTGTTAGTCAGCTGTCACGGGCTGCTTCCTGGGGGTGGAGGCCTGGTCGAGGACCAGGCCACGGGGACACTAAAAAGCCCCGAAATCATCTCAAGATAACATCTCAAGATGTAGACAAGGATACACACTATAGTACCGTATCATCCTTTGCAGATGATGCTAGCATTTTCATGAGAGTAGACAATATAGAGTACACAGCATTCTTCCAATCTGATGTCAATAAAGTTTTTCAACAGGCCACAAAAAATTTGTTGTTTAATGAGGATAAGGTTCAGTTAGTGCGCTGTGGACAAAAACTAAAATATCAAACAGAAACCACACACAAAAATGCAGTCAAACTGCACAATTGAAAGGAAAAGCAAGGTTTAGGAGATTTAGGAGTAATCATGTCGGAAGACCTTACTTTTAAAGAACACAACATAGGTGCCATCTCAACTGCAAGAAAAATGACAGGTTGGATAACAAGAACCTTTCAAACAAGAGATTCCACACCATTGATGATAGTTTTCAAGACACTAGTGCTCTCTAGAGTGGAATATTGTTAATGCAGGCATAGCTTTAGATGGGATTTTTAAGAGGCCAGAGAGCTCTGATAGCAGTTAAACGGTTTTGGCTAAAGCCTCGGCCCAAGGCATAGTCTTGCTATAACTGCAAATACTATGGTAATCGCTCCAACATCCAGCTTCTTGGACAAAATTAGCTCCCCTTTCAGGGGAAAATCCTTGAAAGTCCATTTGTATTCGTACATAATCTTAGCATTGATAGTACTGGTATTTAATTTAACAAGCAATTGGTGATTATTCCAGACTACATGAGTGAATAGACTTAATTAGTTACTGGTTAAAGGTTGCTTAAATAGTAGTTATGATAAGGTTAATTATGTTCTATAATGTTCTGCTAAATAATAAAGGATCATAATAATAAATAAAGGCTAATAATAAAAGCTAAATAATGGGGCTAACAATGCTTTGGTCCCAGGTTTGTGTCATCTCACAGCTCTGGTGGACTTTCTCATTGATATATATCACATTAGTGTGATTTCTGTGTGTGTGTGTAAAGGCTCATATTGTCGAGTGCATTAAACTGTATTTTCATTCACACAGGGTCAGCGTTTCTTAAGGGTAAGCCTTCATCCTCACTATTAAAGGTTTCATGTCTTGCTTAAGGTTGCTTTTGAAAATATATTCTCTAATTTGATGCATAATTAGAACTTTTTCATTGAATTGCTTTCTAGTGTAGTAGCTTTTTTCTTAGGAAGTTTAGGCAGTTGACTTCATTTTGTATCTAAACTGTAGAGTATATACAGTATCTGCTTTTGTCATAAACTTCTATAGAATAGACAGCTTGATCTGCAGTATTGCTTTAGATATTCTGTAATCGGAAAAGTTTTTCTATAGATTGCATGTGGGGTACTTGGTAATTTGTGACATGTATCACTGCATCAACAAGTGGTCCTAGGTACCCACCTGTTGTTGGTTACAAGGATCAATGTCCTGTGTCCCTTACCTTGAGGTGTTTCCGGGGATTAGCGTCCCCGCGGCCCGGTCGTCGACCAGGCCTCCGGTCTCTGACACATTACAGTTATCAATTCAGTAAGAAGAAAATATAATGCAAATATATGATTCAAAATGGCAAAGAAGGGAATTTTTTCAGTATTAGGAATGACATATAAAGGTTGACTGTGACTCTCATATGTTGAGATTTATATAAGGTTTTTCTCCATTGTCATTTTACCTGTTTTGTATGCTTTTCTCCATTCCAGTATTCATATGCTTTACTAAATTTTGACAATTTTGCTCATTTAACTTAATTATAATGCATTTACTGCATTTTGAACAGAGTAACTACTCATTTATTATTGCAAGAATTTTGAATTACATTATCCTCTTAGTACAGATTATAACATTAATAGTGCAGGTGTATTCAGTAATACACACACAAACAAACTGCTCCAGTAATAATACATTACTGGAACAGTAACAAACTGCTCCAGTAATAATACATTACTGGAGCAGTTTGCACAGTACGTGGATGATCACGGGTACCTTTCTCAGCAAGGCTTCCAGAGTAGTTCCGGTACACCTGGATCCTTGCCGGTCACTGCTAGCTCGTCATGCACTGAGCGACTATGAGGACTAAGTCGCTCAGAGCCGGGGCCAGGATTCATTGAGTATTTATGCATCCACTTATGAAACCTGTATGTGTTTAAACTGTCATGGCGGCCTTGTTTACATTTATTAAACAGTTTTCAAGCTTTGAAACTTCAAATTCTAGGTTGTTATTGTTGTAAACAATCTTGTAGTGCTTCAGAGTTCATAAACTGTTTATTAATTATAATCAAAGCCTCCACAATTGTTAACAGATGTACAGGATTCATAAGTGGTTGCTTACAAAAATCCTGGTACCGGCATGATAGCAGCGGCTTGGAACGGTTCAGGGTCACAGGACACATGGAGCTACCGAGGTTCTGTCCAGAAAGAAGTGGTCCATTCCCTCCAATGCTCAAAACTTTATCTATACTTTAATCATGCATGAATTCTTGTTTATAGCCTTCTAAGGAAATAATACACTTTAACATTACTAAAAGTAAACTGAGCTTATATTTTGCTTATTTAAATTAAATTTTAAAGATATTTTATTTTGCATCAGTTATTCCATTTTTTATCGGGGCTACAGTCTCTATAGATTATTATTGTTAGTGCAGTATTCTTTGACATCAAATAGGAGCATTGACATAACTTGGCCAAATTAATTCTTCATGAAACATCCCAATATTTATTCTATCATAAACTTGTACTCTGTTTTCAATGTGTTTTTCCACTACAGGGCATTACCGGAGCAGTTGTGATGCTTGGAGAAACAGGCCAGCTTCAGGTCTCGTATCTGGGGACTGATCCGTCATTTTTCGTGGCTCCTCCAGCAGAAACTCGTGAGATTAATTATGACCAAACAGACAAGGAACTGTCTCAGCTGCATAAAATAATTAAGGCATCAACGAAAGACACAGGTATATAACATAATTTTCAAAGAAACCTAGGTAATGTTATTTAAGTTAATATGCAGCAGGGAAACATGATATCTTTGCTATCATACAAGCTGGGGTTTGTGACCCCACAAGAGGTCTGGGTGGGGAGTATAAATGTTTATTCCCACATTAATACTTGGTGCCTTGAGCCGAAACTAGAAAGGCCAGATTGGGTGTCATGTCTTGCCTTCTTCCTTTGTTGGCAAAGGAACAATTCCTTTGCAAATTCCAAAATTTCCTCCATTTTGGAGGAAATGTTTATAGCAATTGCCTAAGTATAGGTACAGGGCAAGAGAGCTATGCTCGTGGTATCCCATATACAGTACTCAATACTGTACTCTGCCTTATGACTCTTTTGAAACTACTGACGGTTTGACTTCTATCGCCTTCACACTTCTTCCAACCGTTTACCACTGTTAAAAAAAAAATCAAATGTTTATGGCATCTTTATTTTATTTTATTTATTGTATTATTATTTCTGATGTTTATTGAGAACATCAGAGAGAGTTAGGATAATGAGTTAGACAATTTTTTTTTTTTTAGGTTCTTATTTTTTTTGAAGAAAGTTGAAAAATTATGTAAAACAATTATGCTATGGACCAATATCAAGCCATAAGACTTGATAATAGTCAAGGATGGACTGAAAATGTTGACATCTGAAAATGAAGTTAACTGTTGGAAATAAAGATGTGGTGATAATAGAACATGAAGAACCGATGACGGTTCATCCGTCGTCGGTTCTTCAGTTCATCTTGTCGTTCTTAGTCCATCCTGTCGTTCCGTCCTGGACCATCATCAAGTCTTATGACTTGATGATGGTCCATTATCAAGTCTTATGACTTGATAATGGTTCAGGACGGACCAAAACATCATTGGTTCTTCATTTTCAGGTATGTGGGTTGGGTGTCAACTTTTCAGTCAATTATTGTGACTTGTAGTCCGCAGAATACTTGCGTTTTTTGCTATACAGTACAATCAACTTAATGGATTATATGATTATCATAAAACTTTTTTCTTTAATTGTTACTGCTCTAGACTTTAGTATTGTCCAATAAATCAACATTATTTTCTATTATACTGATTATTATATCTGAAGTTAATACTTACAGGAGCACTGGTGAGCATGAATCGCGGTGATAGTGACCTCCTGGTGTCGGCAACAGTGGGAACACAGCTGGAGACTTGGACTGGGCACACTCGCGTTCAAAATCCTGAGGGTGGGATTCCTGCAGTGCCAGTGGTTATGCGTCTTACCGCACACACGCCTCTCAACACTGTCAGAGTCAACATAGCTGTGGAGAAGCCACTAGGTGTTACTCAAGACACCTTTGTTCTGCGGACAATATGTGAGTTTCCTCTTGAGACAATTGAGATGTTGCTATTTTCTGGGTCTTGGGTTTGTGAGAAATGTTTATTTTGGTCTTTTTGATTATGATACGATATTGTGACTACACTATGGTCAAATCTTGGGGAAACGAATGATAATGTAACATTGGCTAAACATTGATAACCTTGGTCCGGTGTAATTAAATGTTACCTGAGCATGTTTTGCCTTGCCTTTGAGCTCTACCTGTGCGAGAACCCAACCGCAATAGTTTAATAATACACTGTTGTGTAACTCCTTTCCTGACAGGTGATACAAGTCAAATCATGGTCAAATTCTACTATGAGGAGCCCTACATACCTACCAGTCTCTCCATCAGCATCATCACGTCTTACGTGACACATACTGGCATTCCACGTATCATCACAAATAATGTAAGCACTGTACTGTAATGTTTTTAATGTCCCGTAAAATTAATGCTTTTTTGCAATTACAAATAATGGTTGAGAATCTCTTCCAACTACACTACTAAATTTTATCTTTAGCTATTCATTACACATGGAGAAATATCTAACTCAGATTTTACATTAGAAAATAAAAGGCCATATACTGTACTGTATATTATATGCCTTTTACTTGGCATATGTTTTCTTCTCCTCAAAGGGAATTTTGACACAGATGTACACAATGACCATAGCAGAAATGTTCCCCATACACTTAGTGGGGTTGTATACACTTTTCATGTGAATCTTGTACAGAATGCAGCAAAGTGTACTACAATCAATACACAGTAATTTCATCAGATCAATTTTGAATTTCCTTGTTAAACTTCATATAGGATGTTCAGTTCATAGCATGTTAAGCTTTGAGTGAACCTACATATACAGTACAGTATATTTAATAAATTTGTAGAATGGTAAATTAGAAGTCTAAGCACAAGGAACATAGGCTCTCATAGAAGGCAAGGAATGATTGGAAGAAGAATTAAAGATTTTAGAAGTGAGATTGTGTAGCGTGTCAAAATTTATTTATTAAGTACGTACAGTGGTTTAGACACGCGAAGTGCATAACTCGTGACACTGACACAGAGAATTATACCGTGATACAGATAATTCACAGGAGTGAGGTGAATGATGGTATACTTAAAAAAATAAAAAATCATGCTTAGACATTTGCATCATTATTAGATTAATAAACTAAGTTAAAATAAGTTTGCATTTTAATAAATATTTTCTCGTAAATTTATCTGTATTTTACAATCACCGTTTCATGGTTTTTGTCCTAGGAATACAGTACTTAGGATATGGAAGTTACTATTAGCTCATTATATCAAGTACAGTATTTCAGTACAGTATGATAATTTTAATTTTCTGCTATATGTTTTTTCCAATAAAGCTCACCAGTAATTGTAACTAAGTTTTTTTATAGCTGTTCACCTCTTTAGTTAAGCGAAGAGTAACTACTGTACAAGATTTTGTATACATCAATGAATAAACCCAATTGTCAATCAATTGATGTAACCTCTTATAGGCTTTTCTGTATTGGTAACATGTTAAGAATTTGGGTAGATATTGTGTAATAGTGTCAAGAGACGAGGAGCTGATACAAATAATACAGTATATATATATCTTCAGCTGGAACTACCGATGCGGCTTGTGGTAAAACCAAACATGCCAACCAAGGAAGCTGACCATAAAATTACCATCTCTACTAATAAAGATGCTGTCAACCTGCCAGAGCTGTTTCCAGGTAAATTGTTGCGAGATGGTTTTTCTGCGGGGAGGTCCATCGGCTCTCTGGAGCCAGGGAACCGACGGGGCTCACCCAGAAAATGGTATTTCACTACCAATGGCATTTCATTGCTCACTAGCGTTTCATTACATTCAACGCTGGTTTCCTTCTTCTTTCATTGTATTATAGTTTGCAACATCATGTTAAGATCTTGCTGAGGAGGTCTTAACACTTAAGTTAATAAAAATAATTGAAGTGGGGAGAGTGACTATAAAATGTGTGTGGTAAAGTGTTAAGCTTTAACACAAGCCTTGGATACCTGTGTTTCAGCATACCTTGTCCCCTATGTTATGGATCTGTTCTAGCATACCTTGTATCTGTGTTATGGATCTGTTCCAACATACCTTGTCCCTGTGTTATGGATCTGTTCTAGCATACCTTGTTCCTGTGTTACGGATCTGTTTAAGCATACCTTGTCCCTGTGTTATGGATCTGTTCCAGCATACCTTGTCCCTGTGTTATGGATCTGTTCCAGCATACCTTGTCCCTGTGTTATGGATCTGTTCCAACATACCTTGTCCCTGTGTTATGGATCTGTTCTAGCATACCTTGTCCCTGTGTTATGGATCTGTTCCAGCATACCTTGTCCCTGTGTTATGGATCTGTTCCAGCATACCTTGTCCCTGTGTTATGGATCTGTTCTAGCATACCTTGTCCCTGTGTTATGGATCTGTTCTAGCATACCTTGTATCTGTGTTATGGATCTGTTCTAGCATACCTTGTATCTGTGTTATGGATCTGTTCTAGCATACCTTGTCCCTGTGTTATGGATCTGTTCTAGCATACCTTGTCCCTGTGTTATGGATCTGTTCTAGCATACCTTGTCCCTGTGTTATGGATCTGTTCTAGCATACCTTGTACCTGTGTTACCCCTGACCCCATTACAATAGAGCTAGATTATTGACAAAATGTTTCCAGAGTCGTCAGTAACCACTAACAATACTGCATAGCTCAAATTAAAAAAAAATCCTGTTACTTCTCTTTTTGCAACTTATGTTAAAAGAAAAAAAAAGTTTTTTTAGTTAGCACAACAAATTCTTTTACTAATGGCTTTTGCAAAAAGAAAAAATACTGATTTATGATGAGGTTAAGAATGCAGCTTTATGATGTGGGAAAAGTAATAATAAATAATCTTGGTATTTTCTATGATGTAGCAAATAAATGTGTGGTTAAGAATGCCAAGGAATTAGGTATTGTGTGGAAGTGGACAAGCTGGTAGAAGACTGGAAAAAAATTGCTTGACTGGACGAGTAAGCAGCAAGAAGAATTGCCGGCAAGTAAGAAGTGGATTTTATGGTTAGATCAAACAATTATATGGAGTGTCAAATTGGGAAAATTGGCTGAACAGAGGCAAACATGAAGACAGTGGAGGGATAATTTATAATACCCAATAAATACCATATAAATACAGTATAGTTTTTAAGTACAGTACTGTACTGCTAGGGAAATATAGTGCAGTACACTGGTCTACGAAGGATTCTCACAGAAATGCTGAAACATGGAGAGCAAAATTGGCAGCCACGGAAGACAAACACTTCTTTAGGTGGCATATCACAGAGTTGACAAAAAGAAGAGTAGATTGTCCACAAGCTGCACTAGACAAGAACTATTTCTTTAAATGGAGAGAAAATGGGACGAGGAAATGAATGGAAGCTGGAAACACATTTGAGTCGCATACATATAAATAAATTTGTGTCAAGGTCACTTTGCCCACAACTTCAAAATTATTTACAACACAGAATTTAAATGTCATAAGATAGAAATAGTATGCCAGATACAAAATGTGAATTTTGGTAGTAATAGGAATGATCTTTTAAGTAGAAATGAAATTGTACTCTCAATGTTTTAATATTTAGACTGCACAAGATCTTACTTTCTGAGGAATGTATTGGTTTCTTTTTCTGACAGATTTAGTATCAGATTCCACTGTAGGAACAGCAATGGGGCTTCAGTATTATAGTGGAGAAGACATTACGATCCTCTCTTCCCGCACCACCAACAGATATCGTCTTCAGTCTGATAGGTTAGTAGAGATTTGGAGCAAGAGTTCGAGCGAGTTCATAAAAATTCTATACAGTACTGTACAGTACAATATATCACAACCTTTGCTCAGAATTTTGTTTTTGTTTTTCTTTATGCTTCAGTTAGCGATGTTGTAAACTTTGCAAGTGATCCATGTTTATATTTATTCTTTCTCCACGTTCAGCTTGATCGTTGGAACATGAGAAGACATTGCAGTAATATTTTGGTTGTTTTTTTATGAGATGTAATTCTAACTGAATCAACCCTTATTTGTATGTATATAAGAACATTGACTGATGAAGAATCATGATAAAACTCAATTTTGGTGAGCTAAGACCCCATGGATGCTCCCTTAGATAGGTTGTCCTACCTGAACTAGTATCATACCCTGGGGCTCTTGTCAACCTTTTCAATCGCTTTGACAGAGCTTTTAAAATGTTGTCTATTTAAAGTAGAATGATGGGCATGTCTTGGAAACATTTTTCTATGCTTAATCAAGTCATAATTTTTGGCCTGGTCCTCTGCTTCTTAGAGTGGGTACAGCACAGTTTGAAAGGATATATTGCTCGTTTTCCCAAAGCATAAGGTCACTCTGAGCCTAGTACAGGTCTGTGTTTTGGAGGCCTAAAGCAAGCAATGTTGCGGAGATATCAAAGTGCCACTTGGAAAGAGGCGTTTCATTTCACTCGGTGCTTTATTTTTAATAAATAATTGTATCATTTTTATTAATACATTTTTTCTGTTGCAACTAATAATATAAATGAAATGGAATCCTTCTAGCTAATCTAGTTGTCTGCACCCCGGGTTTCATTCAACTTTGTTTCCACTGTATATTCCACTTTATACAATACAATACTGTATGCAAATACAGTATTGCACTTTTTAAAATACACAACAGGATATTTTAAGTGAAAAAGTTTAATGATAAAGAAAAGAAACTAAACAGAGTAGAAAACACACAGGTTTGTACAGAAATGTCAAATAAATTGTTCACCTGTGCCGGGGAAAAATGGCAAATGCTTGACATAAATATAGAGGTACAGGTGACAATGTGTACATAATGAATAAAGTAATTAAAATCAGGAATTAGGGTGCAAAAGATGTAGCTAATGAATGCAGGCGATGAGTCACAATAACGTGGCTGAAGTATGTTGACCAGACACCACACTAGAAGGTGAAGGGACGACGACGTTTCGGTCCGTCCTGGACCATTCTCAAGTCGATTGAGTCGACAATCGACTTGAGAATGGTCCATGATGGACCGAAACGTCATCGTCCCTTCACCTTCTAGTGTGTAGTCTGGTCAACATAGCTAATGAATTTTTTGCTAGTTGCATGAGATATGCAATACTATGTGTATATGGAAGGAGAATTGAGAAGTGTTGCCAAGACAAACATCAGTGTTTCTTTTGTTATTTGATATAAAATGCCATATACTTGATTGCTTTTCATTCGCAGTCTACCAGCTATATGGGTCGTCCTTCGTGAGCTTGTTCGTCGCTTAAAGAGTTACTGGGGTCATCCCAGCCGACGAGATAGCGAGGGACTTACTCTAGGTGTTGCATCTTCACTTCCTACGCACGAACTTTTCTTTGAGATTGATGCCCATTTTTTGCGTAGAAAAAAACATCGGGAATTAGAAGTAAGTTTGAAGTGCATGCAGTTTGAGGATCAAGCAACTGCACTGTGTTGGTTACAGGTTTTATATAATATATATATAATATATTATATATATTAGTATATTTTGGTAGCAGTCTTTCCTGTAGACATATATTATTAAATATGACCGAAAAAGTAAGATTAATAATTCTAACACGAATTTTCTCAATATTTCTTATGTTTCTTTTCACTGTCGACAGTGAAAAGAAACATAAGAAATATTGAGAAAATTCGTGTTAGAATTATTAATCTTACTTTTTCGGTCATATTTAATAATATATATATATTATATATATATAGGGAATTATCAAGGGAAAGCACCATGCCATTATGACTATATAGACACACAGACAATGGAGAAAAACCAGATAAATGACCATGAGAAAAATTCGTAAATGAAGATAAAAAATGTTAAGAGATAAAAATGTTAGTCTTAAAACTAGCGTTCTCTTAGTTATGAATACGTACCATGAAATCTAAACTTAAGGTCCATAACTGGCTTAACAAAATATGTTTAGGCTGTCATGTGGATGTCTGCTGTTTCTGATTTATATCAAAACACGCCAAAAATCAAATACAATGAGGAAGTAGAAATACAGAGAAAACACTGAGGAAAAGAACCTAAGTACAGTACTAGTATAGTGTTTAAGTGAGTCTATTGTACCCTTAAATTTTATCCTAATTGTCAGTAAATGATTGTGATAACTTGGTAAATAGTGGTAATAAATATGATTCACTCCACTACAGGCCCAGCTGGTGCACAGAGCAACACAGTTTCGGGCCGTTCAGCGCCGCTTGCTCACCAAGTTCAAAGATAAAACTCCGACACCACTGACCAATTTGGACAACCTTCTGGAAGGAACCTACAAGCAGATTTTACAAATCACAGATGCCATCAATGAAAATATTATGGTGAATATATTTTAATTTACATCTCACACTATAGTACAGTACTGTATTAACCACTGCACTGTGCCACATAGTAATGTGACCCCCCCCCCCATCTTGTGTGCCCAAAAAACATTGTTTCACAAAAAATTTCTCTGGTCACGGGAAACTGAAATAATATACCCCAGTATTGTATGTGACATACTTTAGCCGTGATGGTATAGAGAAGTTGAGCAATTTATAGGAGCTGAACGATTAGGCACTCTTGAGACACTAACCCCAGTGACCTCGTGGGGTGGTAGTTGCGTCAAATATAATTTTTTATAATTATTTCATTATCATTCAATGGTTTTTATATCTAGTTTTTTCAGTAATATTATTCAATAGTGTGTAATTTGTGGGCATTATATATTTAAATGAGTGGAACAACGCTCTGCTCAACAATGTGCTGCTCTTATCTATGCTCTAAACCTGGGACCTTGTGGTTGTAACCTAACAGTGCTTAGCACTGCCACAACCCTTGTGTTCATGTATTAATGACACTTATAAATCGTAAAGCATCCTGCTCAGCTTGATGTTACTCTCTTGTACTTTGGATTTACGATACTTTCCCTTTTTAACAAAGAGGCGGGCCTTCTCCCACACATTTTGTTTTATCATGTTTTAATTTGATCAGTGTTATCATCTTTATTTCTAAATTTTAGTTTTTAATATTCATAAAATTTTTTATGCTTTATTCTGTGCCACTGACTTCGTTATGGCACTAGAGAAATGATTGCTCAATCTCCATTAAATTAAAGTATCATGCTGTTTCATACAGTATTTATTTCTTCTAATCTATTCAGAATGCTATTTAAACAGTTGTGTAGCTCAACAACAAAGTCAGCTGTCTTCAGTACTTAATGGTGCTAGTCCTCGCGGAATACTGTTTAAATAGCAGGTTTCTGAACGAATAATTGAGCAGTACGCTCCCTGACCATCTTGCTAGGGTCTAGAAGAAGATGGATGTCGGCTGAGTTGCGTGGTGAGGCTGGTACTAGAGCTGGTGCGCCTTCAGACTGCAATGCCAGATCACCAATATTCTCTGCTAAGTGCTGCTTTATCACCTATAGTCTACTTATCCATGGACCAGGTAATATTTGGATCTAATGTAAAATGGGGCAAGTTACTATTACTTTTCTGTAGGTGGGTTTACTTGGGTGCTTGTTGTTCAGGAAATTGTGTAACCTTTATTTCTGAATTTTTGGGGATATAGAGAAATTCATTCCAAGTTATGAATAATGTATGACCATATATTTATCGTAATAAGTACCGTAATTTAGTTGGTAAAGTGTAGTTACAGGACGAGAGCTACACACGTGCTGTTCCAGCTTCCCAATAATCTTTATGCTGATAGTTTTTGCATCCACCACCTTCTCCCTTAAGTTGTTCCAATCATATATATATTATTTATTTATTTATTTATATACAAGAAGGTACATTGTGTTTGTGAGGATACATAGCATGGTATTTACAATCTTGTAGTGCCACTTATATGCGCAGCATTTCAGGTAGTATATATGTATAACTTGCAAACTGTATGCACTCGTATTTGCATGCTTTTGAATGTTTATCTGGAGTGATGAAAATCACCTTAGCACTAAGTCAACTCAGTAAATGCTGAAGGGAATTAAACTAACAAGTACAAAGAAGACTTGTCTAGGCTGATCTTGCTGAGATTTGTGATACTGTACTGAACAAATAGATCAGTATAAATCCTGACCCCTTCTTCATCAGGTCTAATAAGTTATAGGAAAGAAGTCTATAGCCCGTCTAACCTATAACTGAAGAATAGCAATAATGAGAAAATCAGCTGGAGCTCTGAGGTGATTCGAACCCCATGGCCAAGGTCACTCCCAGCCACTCACTTTACCACTGTACCACCCTGAATTGGTAAAAAGAGGTTTCAGTGGAATTCAGGTTGTATAACTTTTAACAAGTCAGGGTGGCACATTGGTAAGGTGAGCAGCTGGGAGTATGCCTTGGTCGCAGGTTCAAGTCACCTCAGAGCTCCAGTTAATTTTCTCTCATTGATATATATCACGTTAGTGTGATTTCATTGTGTAATAGCAATAATCTTGCAATGACTTGAGATTAGTAGAGGTTACCCTTCATCATCCTTTCATTGACCATACGTGTCAGACACGTATTGCATAAAGTCATACACAATGTCCTAGATGAGAAAATCTCGCAGAACAAAACATCCTTCAAGAATAAAGGTTTTATGACAAGGATCATTGATAACTTTTTGGTAATGTTGCAAGGAATCTTTTGTTAAAACAACTGTTAAGTAACCATCAGTTTTATCACGTAGAGAAAATTCAGACAGTATGTGATGATGGGAATGTAATCTCTCCAATTTTATTCCATGCTTTTTATCATAATGAACTCCAGGCATTATTAATCACATGCATCCTAAGTAGCAAAATATTTGGTATTGTCTGATCATTATTTAACTCATGCATTGTGCAGCTATCAATTGATTATCACTAGCAGTGATTTGTGTAGTTTGCACATTTGGAAATAAATATGTTATTGTTTTACTTCAGTTAGGTCATCAACAGATTCCTTAACATTATTTCTAAGTGTATATATTTTTGTATTTAGAAAAGCTTTGATTTTGTTATCTACAGGGCTGGGAGGAGATAACCGATGCCAGCGTGACCTTCTTGCTGAGAACAATACTGGGCAGAGGACCCCGCGATGCTACGTCCACCCCCGAGCTGACTGTGCCCGCCGACACAACGAAGCTGAAAAAGCATTTGGCTCTCCTTTTGGATAAGGTGACCAAAGGCAGAGTTGAACTCAGCCTTGATGCTCCAGCACCCTCACCTACCACAGGTAATCAAAAATTTTTTAATTATATATTTTAAATTGAATGCATAAGTTGTGTTGAAGGCATCGGGCATTTCTTGATTTCGACCAGCTGACAGTGTGACGTGTGTACAATATTACAAAACTATAACTGGACTTTGACCGACATACAGTGACACATTGCCTGATGTCTTAACATCCCAGCTGCCGTCCCCGTGGTGCAGTGGTAAAACACTCGCCCGGCCCTTCACGAGTAATTTGGCCTGGGTTCATATCCAGGCCGAGAAGGATGGACTAGACGTCGATCCTTAACTGTAGCCTCTGTTCACCCAGCAGTGAATGGGCACCTGGTTAAATGATTTCACAGATCTTATTCCAGGGAAAATTAGGATTAAGAACCTGCCCAAAATGCTATGCGTACTAGTGGCTTTACAAGAATGTAAGAACTCTATTACATAGCCCAAAAATAGGTTTTGCATGCCTATTATAAAGTTAAGCTTTGTTACTTTTTTTTTTTTAGAATAGTTACCTCTCATAATCTGGCAATCTATCTTCAGCCTAAGCCCACCCTGGGCTTCAGAATAACTACCATGCCTGCGCTGGCTTTAGAAATAACTGCCTCTCCCACCCTGAGTACAGAAATATCTGCATCTCCCACCCCTAGTATGCTCTACTTTGGAAAATTTAATGTTACTTTTCTGTTCTAGGCTGACAACTTTTGAACTTTTATTAGCACAAATAAACTGACTCCTTTGCAATTTTGATTAACTGTTTTTCAAATTGAGCAAGTTCAACCAATCTGAAGCTTTTCTTATGAAAGCTAATACAGCTGCTGTAAACCAAACATTGTCATACTGTATCCTATACTAGGAAACTGTACCATTTTTTACCCCGGAATGCTGAATAAACTCCTAATTCATAAAATACTTGCACTAAACACGGGAAGAAATGCAATTTTTCTATTAGTGTTTCTGTGTAAGATATTATGGCGATATCTTGGTCAGTTCTTGTATATGCACAAGATGATGACCAAACCACAACTCGGAAGATGGATAAGCGACGGGATTTCGGTCCGTCCTGGACCATTATCAAGTCGTGTAATGAATTGATAACGGTCCAGGATGGACCAAAAACATCGTCGCTTCTCCGTATTCTAAGTTGTGGTATCGTCATCATTTCTTCAGCCACGTTAACTTAATTATGCTTCAGTGTTGTGATGTTCATTGTTGGCTATTTGTCTACTTTTGCTTTTGTGCTTTAATCTTGATACTTTTAGATTGATTCTGCTTAGATTTTGTTGAATTAATCATTGCAACAAAATATAAATGGCATTACATTCTGACACTCGATAGGTTAAGGTCACAGCTTGTATAGGTAGAAAATTACTATGCTTCATGTCTTCCACGTTTCGGGTGTGTTATATATCGCTTTAAGGACGGTTGTTTATATGTGTGATATACAAAACTTGCCATCAGATACTCGTGAAGAAACATTTTATAAAGATGAAGATGACTTGATAGAGACCCCAGCCTTAACAACAGAGGACTCGACCGATGTTCCTCTCGGATCTCGACTGGGAGAGGATCGAGCTCGATCAGCCAGAGTTAGATCAGCACGTATCATGTCTGCTCGCAAGGGTCCTGGTCGCATGCCCACAGATGGAGGTGAGAATTGTTTTGAAGTGTATTTCTTGACAATAATACTGTAATAATATTTTACTTATAAAAATACAAAAGAACACATTACAATGGTTAATTAGTAGGTGTAGAAATTGTATATTATATAAAACCAAGGGTTTTGGACATAACTCTCAACATAATCATTTTTATTATCTATTTTGCTCTTTCATGAAGTGAGGAGGCATCAGCCCAGAGATCAGAGGGGAAGCAATATACAATAATGATAGGTTATAGATATAATTTATCACTCATTCATTCAATATATAATTTAGACGCTCATTATTAAAAAAAAGGGTACCAGCACTAAAACACTCATCTACTACTTAAGTATATATATAAAAAGTATTCCTGCAGAGGGACAGGACGAAGGAGGAGAGAGCCAGGGCCACAGAGGCAAGGAGGAAGCGCAGGGAGAGAGGAGTAATTAAGACCAAGTATACATTGTATGGGGGTGACACTTAACATTTAAATTATAGCAATTTATATTAGGGGACACTTTTAAAGTCAAGTGGCACTCAAACAAATACAAGAAGGAATTACACAACCATTTTGAATTTAGGGACTCGAACAAACCAGTTGTGTCGGCATCACAGATATTTCAAAGCTGCTTTGGATCAGTCGGAGGAGGTTTGTTCTGGAGTGCATAGTAAGTCACCCACCTCACATTTGTGCAGCTCTCGTTACAGCAACAGTATGAGATTTCTTGGTGCTTCTGTTTTTTTATCTTATCACTTGTCCTCTATTTCTGTACCTGTTGCCCATTTGTTTTTGTGTTGGTTGTTTATGGATAGACTTGTGCCACATACTGTTGCTCCGTATCATTCAGGCTTGGTAGAGCTGCTGCTGTCATCAGCAGCTTAATTTTACAAGTTGTTTGGCATAGTTTCACCTTTGACCTGCTTTTGTTTTACTGCTAAACATTTAATACCTGTACAGTACATAGTGGTCTGTTATTTGACCATGTGGAATCGATTTTATCAGATTGATGTCATGTAGAAATGTGGTTAAACTGTATATCTACTTAAGTAGCAATTTTTTTCAAAAGATATAATATTTATTATGTACTGAAGTATGGTAATAATTGTCTTGCTTTTTAGAGTCAAGTATTGTGGATGACACTCAGACTACAAATACGTCATCCCAAGACGTGCTTTCAGATGACAACGTTGATGCAGATTCTGAAGGCCTGGTGAACACGACGGAATTTGTTCACCAGAGTAGCTTCAGCAGTATTCCTGAAGATCCTGTTGCTGAAGACAGTGACATGCCCAGCAACTCCCACAGCCCAGTTCATGAGGAAACTGATAGAAATGAAACACCATCACCAGAACAGCCTTCAGTAGAGCCTACTGCACTCCTTTCTGAAAATTTAAAAGATGCTAAAGGGCCTTTGAAGGAAAACATTATTGAGAGTCCCTCGGATATTTATACAATAGAAAGTACTGATGATATATGGTAGATGGGCCTCTTGTGAATGTGTACAGGCAGGCAGGTATGGTATATCAGCGTATGAATTATAAAATTAGGAGAGAGTGGTTAATCTTCGTCACCTCAAAGGTACCCTCTCATTTCATGTGTAAAAAAGCATTGCTTCTTTGGAGACGCCACAGTTCACCCATCGAAAAGCCACTAATGGAAATGTTAACATTCCAGGTAGTTTTGTGTGTTTCCCGTAGTGTTATATGTTGTCCATACCTTTATAATCACGCTGCAAATCAGGCAGAGTCCATTTCTTTTGCAGGGATGTTGTTTAATGATGATGATTGTGATGGTCATTCAGCAGGAAACAACTGCTTGGATCGTCAGTGTTGAAGTGTTTATGTACTCGTCTAAGTGCTGCGGGGGTTGAGCTTTGGCTCTTTGGTCCCGCCTCTCAACTAGTGAGTGTGTCATTGGCTTGGTGCCTTCTTTGGATAGTTACTTGCATATTGCTTGTTTATCTATCCAACCAGCTGTGATGATTATTATTGTCAATCAGCCAAAGTTACTAATAGATTTATAATCCGGCCGGCTGAGCGGACAGCATGCTGGACACGTGATCCTATGGTCCCGGGTGCCGGCGAGAAACGATGGGCAGAGTTTCTTTCACTCTATGCCCCTGTTACCTAGCAGTAAATAGGTACCTCTGAGTTAGTCAGCTGTCACAGGCTGCTTCCTAGGGGGTGGAGGCCTGGTCCAGGATCGGGCCGCAGGGACACTAAAGCCCCGAAATCAACTCAAGAATCCAGAAGAGGTAAGGTCAGTAAATGAGCCTTCCTTATAGTCTCAGCCCAAAGATGATACAATTGCCATAACTAATAGGTAAAAGGTGAAGAATCCTACCTTACCTTGCGACGATTTCAGATCTCAATGTCCCCGCACTCCAGTCTTTGACCAGGCCTACTACACAAGGCTTTATAAAAGCAAGCCTTTCTCAGAACAAAGATTTACAAGGAATAATTTCTACAGAAATGATCTTTATGAAAACAAGGCTTTGCAAGAGCACCACTACACAAGAATCTTTACTACAGCTCATCCCACGTAAAGAATGGTCTTCAGTAAAAGCTTGTCCTTGTAAGGTATTTTCTTTACAAAATTAAAGTACTGCATTTTAATTGGGTTTGTACAAGTAAAATTTGTGCTGTAATAATTAGTTGTAGCAAAAATATTATATTTTGTATGGTTAATTGCAGTGCTGTACTAAAAATGTCTGATACCAGGCATTCCTCTTGTGTGGTAGAATATTGTAGCTGGGATCTTGGTGGTCTTTTTATCACACATAAGCTGCTATCATAAAGTTATTGGCTCGTACAGCACTTTTGCTCAGTGTGATAGCACGTACAACACAACATGCACACTAACCCTTACTTATTAGGAAGCCATTTCATGTACTGTAATTGATAGTAACTTTTGTTTTATTTTAGTGCATAACACTGATATTTGCTTTCCTAACACTTTATTTCATACATGTATACATACACTATATATATAATGTACAGTACTGTATACATGTCCATCCACTTTGAATGTTTGGTACAGTGATGGCTTCACTTCTTAGAGGGCCAGCAACCAATTCTCGGTGGCCCAAATGGTTGGTCACATCCCATTGCTCCTTCCTATCTTTATCCCTTCTAAGTGCTATATTGTAGTCCTATTGGCTTAAGAAATTGAAACTGCCTATTTTACCTTTTGGAGATACTGTATGTTGTGCAATATTTAAGTAATTCTTCACTACTATTTACCATGTTCTCTAGTCAGTCATGCGCCTCGTTGTACCGGTGTTTTACCACAGTCTTTCAAATCATCGTTGCCTCGTCTCCCATGTTCATGGAAGAATGGAAAATAAGTCGCAGTAAGGAAGGTAGTTGAAAGAAAAACACAAATTTGATAAGGATCAGAACAGACCAAAATGTCATTTCACTCTATTCAACCCAGAACACACACGTGAGGTAATGTAAAGTAGATAAATGCCGACAAGTCTTATTACTTACAAGCAAAATTGTCATTCAAGGTTCATGCTGTCCTTCATATACCGCAAATGCCTCTCAAATATTCTTGCACTAAATTATTTGACGACTTGCTGGCATTTGTATGTTTCTTGCAATAAGAATACAAAATGTTAGCTAGTAGCTTAGATGCCAATTATGAAATCAGTTTATATAAGTATATATACACACACACACACATTTTGTATATTTTACTTGTCTTAATTTTTATTAAGGTATTATGTATTGATACATGTAACATCTTAAAAGTATACAGTAATGCTCAGTATGTTTTACTTTACATTCAAATTGCGTAAATAGGTTAATGTTTAAATTGACTTATCGATGCAGATCCTTATACCTATCAAAACCTGTTTATTTTGATACTGTATTCATAGGTTTTTCCTCTTCTTAAAATAGCCAGTTCATTTATTATCACCTCATAGAATGCCCAAATTAAACAAAAAAAGTCCATGATACCTAGTCATTTGATTATCTTTCTGCTCTCGCTGATAGTGGTATACAGTATAGCCTTCCAGCTAACTGGTAATTATATCGTTTGCCTATGTGCATCGTTTGCGATATTTAGCGCCCTCTGATTATTCCGCACATTGGATGGTGCTACATGGCCTTCCCAGCTTGGTGCCTTCTTTTGACAATTACTTATTGTTAGTCTAGTAATCGGTATATTTGAGGATAAAGGGATTGTAAAGCCCCCATTTTACTGTCGAATATTATTGCATATTCAGGCAAATAAACTTGTTTGGGATATGAAATACTGTTTGTATTCTTTTTTTTTTATGCAAAGATCCCTTTGCAAAGGCATCAAGTGTCTCAATATTTGCCCTCTATTTTCTAGCAAAGATCAGTGGGTAAGATCAAAATTAAATCCCTTAATTAATCTTCCATGTAAATAAGCTATTATTACTATTTTATTATGGAATTTATGCTATTACTTATTCAGCATAAAATCAACATCGGTCACCTCTGAAAATCCGTTAAAGTTTAAGGGAGTCATTAATAAAAGATTTTTCATATATAAAATATGTATTTAATATAGGGATATTTACATGCTAGTCTTGAAAACAATTAAATTTTTGTTGGCAGCATTTTCATTGCAATAGAACAAAATCCATATTTAGTTATTACAGGAAAATGGTTATACTTTAATGTCCTGACTTTGTACAAATTGATTGTTTTGAAAAAATTATAGCACTACCCTACTAACCAGAATTATTACACAGGACAGAAAACTAATCTATGCTTAAGTATTCAATAACATTTTAAAAATGCAAGACAAACAGATGGTATAATAGAATGAAATTGTAGTAATAGCTAGGGAGCGGAGGAATGGCGAAGCATAAGTTACATTTCCATGCCTGAACTTATGAATCCAAGATATAATTAGGATGCACTAGAAGCTCGGGGTCGTCATCTTCAGTGGCCGCTGCAGAACCCTTCAAGCCGCTACTGGTCAATGGGATGATTACTTGATCCTGTCAAGAAAAGTATATAATGAGTGAAGTGAACCAAAGATACAAGACTTAAAAGCACATCTGGATTCTCTAGAATTTGTTTGTTGGTGGGGAGGAGGAAACTAAGCTCTCTGCTGAAAAGTAGGAGCCAGGCATACATACACAATGAAATCACACTAATATGACGCATCGGTGAAAAAATCAGCAGGAGCCAGGTGTTACAAACATGGGAATGGGTCAACTATTAATTTGCTCATGAACTTGAATTTGCAAATCTACGTTCATAACTCCTAAGCCTTACATTAAACAGCTTCGTGTGGATCTAATGGTCTATTGCTGTTTGAAACCCCTTTACCCTTTGAAATCCAGGCAAGCCCTGGATGTCAAAATATTTCATTGCCCCCTTACCAATATATCAGAGAAATGAGCATCATATTAGATAGAAAAATAAAACTATATACAGTGGTACTAAAATATTGATGGGAAATGTATAAGCCATTAAACACATTTTTTACGGGAGCAAATAACTTTATGGTGTTTTTAGCAATGGCTTAACTTTGGGATATTTTAGAACCCAGGTGTAAAATCATAACTGGTAAACTATACAAAGATGTAGTACAGTCTAATATATATTCAGACAAAACTTAAGAGTCAATTTATCTGGTCGAAATAAATTGCAACTTACATGATACATCAGTCTGTCAAGAACTTTCTCAACAACCATCTTCTTTTCTACCAGCTCTGCCTCGGACTCAATGTCTCCACTGATCTCATTTAAGTACCAGTTTATAATAGCCGATCTCCTCAGCCCGGAAGTTTCAGACTCGTCTTCCTCAAGGCGCTGCTCCTCATTCCGCATGTGCATGATCAGAAGGTTCGACATGCTACGGTAAGCTTCGTAGGACAGCTTCAATTTCTTCTTCTTTAAGGCATCAGACGTGGCTCCATCTCCCTCATCATTTGTACCTGTAAAATAAGCACAATTAACTAATTTGTTTTGAATTTAATATACATTTTTTATAAAATACTTACTTACTCACCTTATCCAATTTTACTACAGTAATATTTAAATGAAAACAGGACTAAAAAAAATAGTTGACCTTTTAATGAATACTGGGAGATGTATTTCACGAAATGGCTTACTACAGTAGTTTAGTTAAAGGTGCTTGTGTGTGAAATTCAAATTTTAAAAGTGTTAAGGTGGTGGTAATTTCACAAGATTAATGAAGTGAAAATAAAGTATTTTTTATTTTTTGAGCAATACTGAGCAAGATCCGATGCCAGGACATTACAAAATCATTGTTGCAAGCAATTTGAATTGTGAACTCTTAACACACGAGAAAGGTGCACACGGTGCCAGCAATAATAACCATTTGACACCGAAAGATGTGCAATTGAAATTGATCACAACATACTCGGGGAAGATATCCCCTGTCTGTCAAACAGCACCGAATGGCTTTCTTTTGGAGTATCCTTTGCTGGAATCCATTTCCTCAAGGCTGATGCCTTCCTGCCACATCAAAGTGGAACACAATAATGATAAACAAAACAAAACTAGAAACAGTCACAGGATGCATACGACCTACTTTGTATGCATCATCTACATTTGTAACTTACCATTAATTTGACCATTCGGATCCCTGTTCTCGTCCGTCTCCATGGGCTCCTCCACCTCCTGTTCCTCTTCAACATCTTCTAGATGGACATCTGGTTGTTCAACACGAATGATGGATTTATTAAGCAGCCGGTATGCTTCTTTTACATGTTTCGGTTTTACCTTGAAGAAAAGATTCAACGTGCTATAAAGCTGCAGACTAAGAATACAGTATCTAGAAAATTAATATGGGTTGGTTCATTTACAGTTTTAAAAGCAAGTTACATATATTTTTTTTCCATAATGTACCACATTTACACTACAGTATATAGAAAATTTTGGAATGATACACAGTACAGTACAAATACTTTTGGAATACAGTATACCAAATAAGAGTCCTTACCTCATCTGAACAATGCATTCTAGCCATGCCCTCAGACAATCGAATCATGGACTCGAGCTGACGTACAGTAATGCGCCATGAGGATTTTGCAGCCCCAGAACAGTCACGTTGACGAAGACCGCGGTACTGTTCCACCAAGTACTCGCTAGCTTCCTAGAAGGACAAAGATTTTTTTTTATATTTTTGATTGCAGGCAACCTTTTCTAGCATTCAGTAGAGAGAAAGTAGGTATAGATGCCTCAATTAGTGTGTTAATGATACTGTTTATAGAGTAAGGAAACAGAGCCTAAAAAGAGCCGAATCTCACCTGTAGACACCAATAGATAAATGCTCATGAACAATATTAGCATTACAACTCTAGCAACTTAAATTATCTATTCAAAATGATGAAAAATAAAAGTCTTACCTTATTAAGCTTTGGCTTGAACTGTCTGGCAAACATAATGTAGCGCTGAATTTCCTCCAGAGAATATGTTCTGTCAATGCTCTCTTCATTCCGACAATGTAGATCAACAATTCGCCGGGCAATAGCATAGTCTGTTACCTGTTATAGGGATCTCAAATTAAGATTCAACTCATCATACCACTAACTATGCTCAATTTAATAAAAACAACAAATGTAATTCTAAAATACTCTTAATTTTAATATACAATGACATTTTACATATTTATAAAATGCTAAATCATCACAGTTATAAGGCAAGATTTTAGCTTCAAAACCCAACAACTATAAATATATGGAATCTATTGTTTTATATAAACTAAAATTTGTACTAAAGAAATCTTAAATATAAACTATAAAGATACCATTCATTACATTTTAAAGATCAAGCCAATTTTCTTTGTGAACAAGAACCAACTAAATTATTTAATTGAATTTATCTAAATTTAAAAAGTTGAACACCTTTAACATGGATAGCATGAACAAATGTTTATGCACAATACATACCTCATTACACTCATCTACAAGAATGAAGAAGAGATCGAATCGTGACATAATAGGCGCCGAAAGGGCAATATTCTGCCGGAGTGACTTCGTCCGGTCATAGCGACCACCAATTGGGTTCGCAGCAGCCAAAATTGAAGTACGTGCATTCAATGTAGCTTTCACACCCGCCTGTCAAAATAAAATAAATAAGTACATTAAAAAAACTAAATTGTATCAGACACTAATTGTCAACCCAAGAACCACCAATTAGCATTCTCAAACTACCACTCAACGCGCACAACCACTATACCTGACCAGTCACTCGCACAGAATTAGCCAATCTTAATTTGCAATTAAACAAATGCATAATAACTTACCTTAGTAATTGAGATCGTCTGCTGTTCCATGGCCTCGTGAATGGCAACCTGATCTCTAACATCCATCTTGTCAAACTCATCAATACAACACACACCATTGTCAGCCAACATGAGAGCACCAGCCTCTATGACAAATTCATGGGATTCTTCATCTTTAACAACAGCTGCTGTCAAACCAGCAGCCGAAGATGCCTTACCAGAGGTATAAACTGCTCGTGGACTGAAGTCAGCCACCTAGAGAAGAGTAATATCTATATATGAACTTCAGTACAATATACATGTTTAATATATATGCATTTCATACACATGATAAACAATGTTTTTAAATTTCCTTTATGATGATATGAAGTGCAGTCATTTTAAAGTCAAAACAATAAGGCGCTTCTAAAAATTGTATAAATATTAAAACGGGGAAATAATTTTATTTTCTATGGCACAACAATACCCTAAGGAAGTGGTTTCCAACTGGTGGGTCATGTAACTTTAATTCAGAGTACAGTACCAATATCTGAATCACCGAGAATTAGCAAGTTTGAGTATCCTGATTAGGTAATTTTTTCAAGTCTGAAAGCATTGCGGGGAAAAGGGTGTTGCGGGTCTATCGAGTCCAGTATTAGAAAATTGAATTACAAGTCCAAAAGGGTTGGAAACCACTGCCCTAAGGCAATTAACTGGAGATCCAAAAGTTCAAAGGAGTACATCTGTTACTACTGTTTATTCACCTGTTTGAGAAACTGGGATTTGGCTGTAGATGGATCGCCAACCACACACACGTTAATATCACCACGAAGTGTTGTACCTTCCATAGTTGTCTTGGGAACGCCTCCAAACATCATCAACAGGATTCCTGTATTATCAACGCGGGGAATAAGTGCTAGGATAAAATACTCACAGTATGAAAAAAAAGTAATACATTACATGCAACATGTTGTAACCCTTTTTGTGTAAAGAAATTTTCAAATAAAGTTAGATATATATTCACACATACCAAAAGAATAGGGGTGGTAGGAGAAGAAAATATCAAAGTGTTTAGTGAGGATTCACAAGGTCTTCTCAGAGTACTTTTCTTCTCTGAAGCTATGGGTCCCTACACTTGCACCAGAGGTGGTACCCCTTCTAGGTTACATGCAATGTATATGCCTCAAGACTAAACTGATGAAAATCTGAAGTATGTAATATTTTTTAAATTTCCATGTAAGCGTATGTAGAATAGTTTTATATTGTATATTTGTTTAACAATACATTTTTCATTTTATTAGTCTGGGTCTGAAGTCCAGGACTTCATTCAATAATATATCCTGAAAATATGTTTCAGGCACAAAAAAAAATATTTACGCACCTCTCTTGACTTCATCGTTGCCATGAATAGTTGGGAACAAGGATGATATAAGATTCTGGTAAAGATTCTTGTCTCGAGACATTTCATACACTTTATTCCACTCAAGCTCTGTCATCTGTCTCTTGATTCCTTCAGCAGTCATCTCTTCCCCACGAATCTCCTTTCCACCAAACTGATTCAAGAATTTCCGCATTAGTTTGTTATTATACCTACATTTGACAGCCCATTCTCCAGTGCACAAGAAAAAGTTTACAAAATACACTATACTGTATGCACAATAAAAACAAGACCGTGATATCTGAAAAATATGGAAACCATGAGATGGGTCGAACCAGTATCCCTGAACTCCTCGAAGCACATTCACTACTGACTGGACCACAATAGGCAAGGTAATTATCACGAGAGTGTTAAGCCATTAGGACTAGATAGCACTTTAAAGGGATTGGATACAATGAGTTTAGGATTGAAGTGTAAAATGGGAGTTGCCAATTAGCTGTCCAAATGGAAGTGTATAGAAGAATAAGAGGGGCACAGGCCCAGCTAAGGAAGTAGAGATTGTGAAGACCAGAAGCGACATACTAGTAAGGTGGGGTACATGATAGGGAGGTTCTGGCGGAGCCTTGCACTTGAAAGGGATGCAAGGATAAGGATTTGGGATATGACTAAGGAAAGGAATGGTGTCCAACTACTTTGGTGGTCAGGGTAGAAGGGGGAGGGGGGGGGATTCAACGTCAACCTGTGAGAAGCCCGTCGCCCTACCATCCAGTCCAAGTTGTTAGTGGCGCATGTGTCTGAGAAGTTCGGGGATACAGGTTCAATCCCACTTTAGATTCAATATTTTTTAATGCTTTTATAGTGCTTTGTATGAGTAAATACCTTTGCAGAATGCCATCCTTCAAAATAGATTTAATTGCACTAAAGTTTTTGCATACATTTTGACAACACCCATAATTATTTTCCTAACCAAAATTCACGTGGCACAGTGTACAAGTACCCTTATTATATATTTTGACTCATTAATATTTAGTTCAAAGGCCAAGCACCACTGCTATAAATGGAAGGGATGGTTGTAACTACAATATAGACTGTGTTTAACCGCTACGAGGCCACCGTAGTTTAACCGTAGCCACCAGGCTACGAGTGGCCTCGTAGCCTGGTGGATAGCGCGCAGGACTCTTAATTCTGTGGCGCGGGTTCGATTCCCACACGAGGCAGAAACAAATGGGCAAAGTTTCTTTCACCCTGAATGCCCCTGTTACCTAGCAGTAAATAGGTACCTGGAAGTTAGTCAGCTGTCACGGGCTGCTTCCTGGGGGTGGAGGCCTGGTCGAGGACCGGGCCGCGGGGACACTAAAGCCCCGAAATCATCTCAAGATGACCTCAAGATAACCATTTATAGTTAAAACAGTGCAATGAGGAGATACCACAATAGTATGGAAAAAGTACTGTACAGGGAACTTTTAACAGGTCAATGTAAATGGGAATTTTTAACAGGTCAATGTAAATGAAAACTGAAGAGGACTAACTAACCTTCGGGTTGGTGGGCGTGATAGAACAAGCCAAGAATGCCATTCTGTAGTTGAGATCTCGCACACCAAGTGCCTTGAGGCCCGTTACTCCTTCGCTGTCTTCACCTAAGGATCGAGTGACAAACTCCTGTTACCATACAAGAAATGACAACGGCACACTTGTGATCACATATAACCAAGTGAGAAACCAAAGTGATCAGAAGGCAATATTGCACAACACTTTAATGGAAATAGAAAGCATTTCAGGTATGCAAATTATTCAATTAGTTAAAAGGTACATATATTTTATTTTGGGAATATCCGATTCTTGGATCATCACCACTTCTAAATGAAGTCACATTTTACCAAGGTACAGTATAGCAATTCAGTCACTCTACACACTAAAAACTACTTTCATATCCTTGCAAAACAAATTGGTAACTTTACATTCCTAAATTCCATCATTTAGAGATTCTTGCAAACCATCAAAATAATTATCACATTGAAAATAATCTACAGTTACCCACTACACACCCTTATGCCTGGCAGAACTCTCGGCCCGAGCACCAGGTAGGTTTAAGGCCGACACGTCGGGCACTACAATCAAAGTTCCTGTGAAGTCGCAGCGGTCACCTGCCTGCGCCCTCTCCACAGCCTCGGCACGAACTACTATTTCAACACTGGAAAAAATAGTGTATAAATAACCCAACCCACACAGACCAGAACAGACAAAAACCTAACTTTCATTCCATGTTTCATAGTTAATTGTTCTCGGCCACATTGTAAACATTTTCTGCAGTACAGTACAGATGAGCAAATTGGCAAGGTACAGTAATTGAACAACTGATAAGAGACTGACATTAATTTTTGCCTAATGCTTGACAATAAGTCAAGCAATTAACAATGTATACATTGATTAAAAAATGCCAGTAACTACCTCACATTACCTGCGTGGGATGCACCCCCTTGGCAGTTCAGCTTGGACTTCCTGTATGCGAACCTTCTGGAAATCCACAAACCGACTTTTGTTTGTGTCGAGCACAAAGCGTGCACGGTTACTACAGACAGGATTTCGGCAGATTGTTGGCTGGGTATACTGAAATATGAGAGGGGCTATTACAGTACTGTATTTAAAATACTGGCCGACAGTTTTTAATTTATCATACCAAAATCTGCATAGAAAACACTTATACCCCACATATATCTAGGTATATTTCGAGCTCGCCTGGACCACGTACCATGTCTCTTAGCGCAAAGATGTACGGTAACAAACATTTAGAAGAAATTCTTTACACGGTTAAGTTTTATGTTCACAAATGAAAAGTAATGCCCTACTGCTAGATTTTGCAATACAATTACAGGTATTCTTATCCCTTACCTTAAACTGTTGCTCCACATCCTTAATAACACTCTGACAATCGAGACAGATGAAGGTTCCAGCAACTAGTTCCGGATGGACGGGATGGGTACGGACAACCTGCACATAAACATATTTAAACTGAATTATAACGGAAATGTAAATCTAGTAGAGATAATGAGTTGAAGGATTTTTCTCAAGCATATATATATAAATTTTGTTAAAATCTTAGGATTACCCGTTTTCTTTTTATACTACTGCATACAGAATACAGTACTATACAGCACAATATTATCTGTCACTGTCAGAGAAAAATTAACTACAATATTTGTCATAAACTTAATGTTCCCAAATGGTAATATTCTTATACTTACACTTCGTGTAAAGTTGGTGGCGAAAGTTATTATATCAATAAAAAATTTAAAAAATATTAATGATATTTCTATATCTTTAGATAACATTCTCCGGGGAAATATTTACTTTTTTATGTTGGAAAAATCTGAAAAGCAGGTGTCAGCTAAAGGGAAAGGAATACAAAATCCATCTTTTTTACCTAAATAAACTAATTATGGCATTTTATTCCCCTCATAATTTGCCCATTTAAAAGTTGTCATCATCTAAATTTTATACATGTCTAAAATCAAAGATAATATAAGGTGTTTTATGCCTGATCACATCATACTGACAATCCCAGTAATATTTTCTTACCTGTCCAGATATGCGAACTAAAGTACCAATTTTGTGTGTGGTCAGTTCACGAATTTTATGTCTTGTGGGAACATCAATTAAGCTCACATAGTATTCTTTTTCAACGGTAACTTCTGCATGATCTCTCACAAAGTTGCGTACAGACCGACACAGGAATGGATATACCCTGATGGTAAAATGCATATAGTAAAATAATAATTAAAAAGAAAATGGCAAAAAGATTGGTTAACTAAGAGTCCAAAATGAGAAATTAAAAAATAAAATATAGTAATGTAAAAGCAAGGACAGAACAAAATACTGAAAACAAATCTGCTCAAATTCATATCGTACTTTATTGCAAAATTATCATGTCAACCGTTTTAAAGAAAGCTCTTTAAACCATTAGTAAAAATCTTCTGCAAAGCTACAGATAATTATTCAATTAATTTCTGGTACAGTACAAGTCACCAGTGCCAACATGCATTAACCAAACAATATTGGAAATCATGATTAACTGCATATAAAGTCCATACAGTATTAGTAAATAAAAACAATTCTAAAAACTAAACTTAAAAGCCATTTACAAGTGACAAAAAATAATTTTGATCATCCTGGGACTACCTGTAGTATTCTTCAACAACAGTTGTAGCCAAGTTTTGGTTGTACTTGTCAATGTCAACAAACGACACTTCCAGGGTATTACGCTCCGGCTTCACCAAATCTCGGGCATCCTCCAGATACTTCACCTCGCCTCCCTCCTGAAATCTGAATCAAATGTCATCAGCCTAAAACTAATGCAACGATGTTTAATATACCGACACGTGTAGTTAAAAACTAGTCTTAATTTCTAGTTAAGAAACTTACTGTTAAGGCTCTTACAGACACATTCAGAGTCTGCTAAAGCTCTTAAAAACATACTACAATTATAAAGGTAAGTCACTAGCCAGCCAAACTATTTAGTTACCTTAACGAGAGGGTTGGTTAATTGGCACAACTAGACAACCTTTCAGTGTTCAAGAGAACTTGATAAACACCTCCAGAGGATAGCTTTAGCTGTGATTCGTATGTCAGACTGCAAGAATTGGCATACCATCACCAGTGGTTTGACAAGGACAGAAAGCTAGCAGCTTGTGAAAGGTCCCTACAATTTTTCCGGATTATTTTATCGAGCTGAATTTGTAATAGTACAGCAGTGCCTTAGCATTTACGACTTTGGCAGGCAAGCAGTTCCGTGGGTTTATATCCCTGTCGGTGAAAAAATCATCTCGTTTTGTCCTAAACAGGCTTGTTAAGCTTGAAACAGGTGCTCCTTGTTTGTGTTATACCCAAGTACTCTGTCAGCAGTCTCAACCCCCACTCCAGCTGGGAGAAGGCAGAGGGCTACATCATCTGCCAGTTGATAATTTGGCAGTAAAATTTGCTGCCAAATTTGTATCTTGCAAATTGTTGAAAACCAACAAATCTTTGAGAAGGCAACCCTTTCTGTCAAGTACATTTATTGATAAAGGTACAATAGATTCTGGAAAAATGTTGATGTGGCTAGTGGCTAACGAGCGTACAGGCCTTTAACAAGCTGCCTGTCCTCATTATGGCCACTAAAGACTGTAGCCCTTACTTTTATTACCTTGCATTGACTCCAAGGTTCAATATCCTCAAGGCCCGGTCTCTGACCAGGCTTCCTGGTTGGGGGTCTGGTCAACCAGGCTGTTAGATGTTACTGCTCGCAGCCTGACATAAGATTCATGTCAGGCTGTTGTTTAAGGTTGATCGGCCTGTTGATCAACTAGGCTGATCAACAGCCTAGTTGATCAGGTCTCCTTTGGGAGGTGTTTAACAAGGAGCATTCAGGTGAAAATTGGGTTCAATTTTAGTTTAGCTTAAAATAGTCAACTTCAGAGTCAAGATACAGGAAAGTCTCAAATAATAATGATGTCTCAACATAACAGTCGTGCTTCTTGCAGGTTGATAAGCTTAGTTCATTTATTATGCACCCCATACCCTTCCTGTGTGTGGTAGTGGAGTTACAGGCACATAATGGGCTCAAGGACTGAACCCCAACATTCATGTAGTTAAGGAACTTACAAAATTCAATGCACATAACATTGTATCTACACAAGTCAGTCTCTAGAATGAGTTTCTGGCCATCAGTTAAGAAACAGATAGGGGAACACCAAGACGTTACTACGTAAGTTCAGTAGAACTTCGGTTTCAACTCTTTTTTTTTTTACCCTGTCGTAGCTCAGTCGATTAAGGCAGTGTCTGGGATGTTCCCGAACGCAGGTTCGAATCCTCGTCACGGCCCTTGTGGATTTGTTCACCCCAAGACGATCTACGAGAATAAGGAGCCACAAGGGACTCAACAAAGCACAAGTGAGGGGGGACCTACTCCTCTAAGAAGTCTTGGAAGAGCTTCTGACAGCGATCTCCCACTTCATCCTTCACGTGGCTCTGGCCCGTCTGTGTCTCAGCGACATCCATGGTGCTCTCTCAGCCCCGGGTGTGTTGTGGTGTATAATAGTGGCTGTACCTCACCAGCTCCTCCACTACACCTCCTTCTCTCACAACAACACTACTTTTGGCGCCAAACTCCAGTCACGTGACCCGCCGGCTCTTCCATTCACCTCCCTTCGCGCCAATATTATTTTGCCGCATTTATTTATTTAATATATAAGGGGTACCACCTCTGGTGCAAGTGTTATTTAATATATATACAAGAGTTCTTATATTATTGTATAGCCCACTAGCATGCATAGCATTTCGGGCAAGTCCTTAATCCTAATTTTCACACACACACACATCCCCAGGAAGCAGTCTGTATATAGCAGCTGTTTAACTACCTATTTACTGCTAGGTGAACAAGGGCATCAGGGTGAAAGAAACTCTACCCATTTGTTTCTGCTTCCACCAGGGATCAAACCCGGAACCCTTTTGACTAAGAATACCGAGCGCTGTCCACTCAGCCGTCAGGCCCTTACTGAATAGTGTTGCATCGTTTCTGTGATGTAAGTTATGCATTATTTTTTATTTTATTTATATAATAATAATATTTGATTTACAAGTCGATACAATGGGTTGGTGAGATTACATTAGTGATATTTTTACATTCTTACAAAGCCACTAACACGCATAGCCTTTTGGGCAAGTTCTTAATCTAATATATCAGGTATAAGATATGATTTGAATGTCATAGGATATGACCTTACCATATCAGGTAACATTTGAATTTTTTTTTATTTGAATTTGAAGATGTAAAAATACATTGTAGCATCGTTTTATATCAACAATATAAATTGACAGAGGAGATTACACTAGTAAAGATTAAGTACTTAATTAGTCTTAAGTACTAATATTGAGGAAGTGGGTAGTACAAGATACAGTGTGAGTTTAAAGTGTAAGTTAGGAAACTATGAGGATATAAAATTAGGTACTTTTTGGTTTTACTTTTGAACAGGCCATTGGTTGGAACATGTTTTAATTCATTATGGAGTGAGTTCCATAGACTGGACCCTTTTATTTGCATAGAGTGTTTGCACACTCACGTAGCTTGACTCTGGGGATCTCAAAAATATATTTATTTCTGGCGTGGTACTCATGGGTTCTATTACACCTATCAAGGAAAAGTTTCAGGTCAAGATTAGCATTTAGGAACAAGGTTTTGTACATGTAAATAGCACATTGAAATTGAATTTGAAATAAGTTTATTGAGGTAAAATACACACAAAGGGATGAGGTAGCTCAAGCTATTCTCACCCCGTTCAGTACATCGTGTTAATACATACATAGACACACATCACAAACAATAAACATATTACAAACATTCTGAGAGATAAACATATACATTTCCTCCTTTACACAAGTAGTATGGTATCAGACGTACACATAAATACTTTTATGACCTAGAATAGCAGATGAGTATGTGTGGAGTAAATGTATGTTTGGTATATTAAGGGATTTAAACAGAGGGGCTGTGTGTTGTCTGAAGACAGAGTTTGTTATAGTTCTGATAGCAGATTTTTGCCAAGTGATAATAGGCTTGAGGTAATTTTCATTGAAACCTATGCACAGATACCGTATATACAAGAGTTTTTACATTCTTGTAAAGCCATTTAGCACGCACAGCGTTTCGGCCAGGTCCTTAATCCTATTTTTTTCCGGAATACGACCCGCCAAATTGTTTAACAACTAGTTACCTGTTTACTGTTAGGTAAACAGAGGCTACAGTTAAGGATTGACAAGCCGGTCACTCCTCCCCGACCAGAATACGAACCCAGATCAAATTGCTTGCAAAGCACCGGGCGAGTGTTTTACCACTGCGCCATGGGGCCATAAATATTGATTTATCTGAATTTACCTAAGGGCCTCTAGTGGCCTCGAAGAAGACAGGAAGCCGGGGGCTTGTCAAAGGGCCCCCCCATTTGTAGCAGCACAGCAACGTGCTGCTACCTTATTCTGTATGAAAGATTACAGTGTACATAAAAACCAGCTACAAGCTCATCGAACATCCCCACCTCACAGGAATGCCAGTTATGCATGGAATCAGGAGAGAACATGAAATGCCAGGCTGCTCTATTAGCCTCCACTAGCAAAATCTGGGTACAGCACAAGAATATCTTCCAATATTCCTGAGTGTATGAAGTAATTACAGAGCTCAAAGTACCTCATACCATTTGGAAGCAATATTTCTGAGTGTATGAAGTAATTACAGAGCTCAAAGTACCTCATACCATTTGGAAGCAATATTTCTGAGTGTATGAAGTAATTACAGAGCTCAAAGTACCTCATACCATTTGGAAGCAATATTTCTGAGTGTATGAAGTAATTACAGAGCTCAAAGTACCTCATACCATTTGGAAGCAATATTTCTGAGTGTATGAAGTAATTACAGAGCTCAAAGTACCTCATACCATTTGGTCTGAAATCACTGATAACAGGGCAATCACAGATATAGTTTTGGAGAGTGTGTCCCAGCTCTCATAGTTGACATAGTTAAGAATTGGAATGTTCACCATTGGGAGATTCATTACCAGCATTCAAACGCCGCGCGCTATGATCCACAATGTTTAGAAGTAATATAGGAACTGATAAGGATTGCACTTGACGGTACGCTGAAAAGAGGAATATACATCTTTACCCAACAACACTTAATTGCTCATTTAACAATTAAAATTCTTTCTGAGGTGCGGAGAAGAAATAAGGAAGCCGAGGAGTGTTTCTTAGTGGTTATCTAAGGAGTTTGCTCCTCCATGCTCAGTGTGTTACTCTTGCATCTGCCACGCAACCTCGGCCGACCGGAGGGGGAGTGCTCATGAGTCCCTTTACTGAGCCACAAATTACCGAATTACGCCCTTGTCTCTAACCCAGAGCCACATGGAAGCCGGCCAGGAGGGAGCCCAGGCTGCGGTAATGAGTGTGTGAGTGAGGAGTGCCACAGGGAGCCCCCAGGAGTGGCACTAGCAGTGCCTGGTGACGTAGTCAGGGCGATTGTTTACGTGGACAAGTGAGCTGTCAAGTTGTCTGCACGGAGGCCCTCTCTCTCTCTCTTAGGCTTCTTTCCCACACCTTCCCGGGTAGCAGTAGGCCTGTGGGACATGTAGGCCTATGGTGAGCACTAGTTAGAGGTGTTACAGGAAGCCTAAGGTCCGGGAAGGGCGGGAAATAGGCCTTAGGGAGGTGTTGGTCTCTGGTCTAGGCTCATAGAGGGAGTCTTGTGGGGTCGTGAATTTTGTATATGGTAATTTTATTTTGATGAAACTGAAGCGTTTAGGCAACAGGGTGTGATGTTTTTGTCGCAAAGTATTGAAGGGAGCCGGTCGGCCGAGCGGACAGCACGCTGGACTTGTTATCCTGTGGTCCCGGGTTCGATCCCAGGCGCCGCCGAGAAACAATGGGCAGAGTTTCTTTCACCCTATGCCCCTGTTACCTAGCAGTAAAATAGGTACCTGGGTGTTAGTCAGCTGTCACGGGCTGCTTCCTGGGGGTAGAGGCCTGGTCGAGGGCCGGGCCTCAGGGACACTAAAGCCCCGAAATCATCTCAAGATAACCTCAATAAGCATTAAATGTTGGACATATAAACAGTTCCAAGAGTTTTTACATTCTTGTAAAGCCACAAGCATGCGTAGCATTTCGGGCAAGTCCTTAATCCTAATTTTCCCCGGAATACGACCCAGCCGAATCGTTTATCAAGTTGAAATCACAATGCTTAAGCAGCAATAACCAGTGATGCCAGTGGCAGTATTAAGAATGGTCCCTTGAGTTAGTTACGTTGCTCACTACTGTATTGTGTGTATAAATTAAATATATATTTTCGTTTGATTTAGCGTGGAAGATATTTGTTTGTAGAGAAGCAATCGCATTGAATGACTTAACATTTGATCCTTTTTCTATCCCAACACTGTGTCGAAGGGTTACAGTAATCGTTGAATGTCTGTGTCAAGGGGTTACATTAATTGTTGAATGTCTGTGTCAAGGGGTTACATTAATCGTTGAATGTCTGTGTCAAGGGGTTACATTAATCGTTGAATGTCTGTGTCAAGGTGTTACATTAATCGTTGAATGTCTGTGTCAAGGGGTTACATTAATCGTTGAATGTCTGTGTCGAGGGGTTACATTAATGGTTGAATGTCTGTGTTAAAGGGTTACATTAATTGTTGAATGTCTGTGTCGAGGGGTTACATTAATGGTTGAATGTCTGTGTTAAAGGGTTACATTAATTGTTGAATGTCTGTGTCAAGGGGTTACATTAATCGTTGAATGTCTGTGTCAAGGTGTTACATTAATCGTTGAATGTCTGTGTCAAAGGGATACATTAATCGTTGAATGTCTGTGTCAAGGGGTTACAGTACTTGTTGAAATTCCGAGTCATTACACATCAACTTGTTACACTTTCCGGTTGAAATGTTGCATATTTATAGTAGTGTTTGTTAAACGCTATGAAAATGTGCACTAAATAATCTAACATAACCAATTGAAACTAACAGTCACATAGGTTGGCTTACAGTTTGTGTATACAATATTGGGTAAGCCAGCTGAAAATGCTTAATGTATTATAAATCAGTACAGGATGGTACTGTATTTGGATGACTGGTGTGGGTTAGGATAGTCACTCCACAACTGCAAGGTAGCAGGTTTGGTTCCTAGAACAAGACGGATATGTTTGGGCATATTTCTTTACACCTGATGCTTCTGTTTGCCTAGTAGTAAATAGGTACTCAGGATTAGGCAACTGTTGTGGGTTGTATGCTGGGGGAAAGTCAGTATTTGGTACCGAGAGATCTTAGTAAGCCTAACACAGTGAGAAACCACAAAACATTTGTACAGTAGTTGATATATGTTTAGCTCAAGCAGTACAGGACAGAAATTTACAAAAATTTCTCTATAAAAGTAAAAAATTTACAAATGCCAAGCGAGATCTTTAAATTTATTAAAAAGCATCGGGAAGTTGCAAGAAGCTTATTGATAAGTTGCAGGGATTGTAATACTGCAGAACAAGGTAGCCCCAGGGGGTGGGGGGGGTAGGATCGTAATCGACAAGCAGTCGGCTTCCTGTGCTCGTCAAGGCCACTAGTGTTAGTGGTCCTCGGGTAAATTGGATAATATTACTTTTTACCATGTGGAAGACGAGTTACTGTACTTGGGGTAAGAAATGTTATATCTGCTGTCAGTATATGGGGCTGGAGTTCAGACAAAATTACAAACTTCGATTTTCATTTTGGGCACTACTGCACATTCTAAATCAGAGTTTCAAGACTTTTGTACCCTTGAAGTAATTCCTGATCATACTTTAGAGAAGCACATACACATCTTATTGTCAACTGAAAGGAGACTATATTTGTCTTTGATCTTGATAGTGGTTAAATGATACAAATTAAACACAAAAATGATGCGAATACATTTGCATTTGGTTAGAGTTAGACGATTTATCACTATCTCTTTTGGAATCTCTCATTACCGTGGGGTGCCGTGGAACCCGTTGAGAAACGCTGCCCTAAGCATTCTGTGGTTTTTTACTTCATTAAGTACTGAAGATGTGAATCAGAAATGGACATTTCAAATATTAGGGATGTATGCTTTTTTGTTTAAAGTAGGAAAAGTGTTCTTTTAGAGATCTGTTATGGGAGGTATGTGGTGTTACGGAGAAGGGCCAGCAGCTAGAGTCAAGATGTATCAAAAATAGTGGGATAGATAGGCCCGGCCCCCAAGGAACTAAGGTTCCTAGTACTGATTCTATGTTTTAAATTACAGGCTGGACCTATCTATCCCACTATTTTTGATACATCTTGTCTCTAGCTGCTGGCCCTTCTCAGTACAACCATATACCCCCCATAACAAGTGGGGGGGGCCTGTCCGGGATGCGAGCTTAACTGATCGTACAGTCATAAACATTATAAGTCTTCACCGACACTCATTATTAGTAACTTAAGCAGTTCTAAGAATAGCTGATAACTAGTTCAGTACTATATTTAATAATCAACAAGTTCAGAGTCTGAATGCTCTGTGAGAAACAAGATTCATCTTACGTCTGGCAAGGAAGACGGGGACAAATGCATATCCAAGTTTTAAGGAGCCATGAATGTAAATGTTATTGTTAATTAAATATCCTTGATCCAATCCTATCAATTAATGGATAGTAATTATTTAGAGCTCAATTTGACCTCTGGTTTCCAACTAAGAGCCCAGGGTCATAACACGATCTCTGGTACCTAACCCTGCATATCTCATATTCAATACAGTGCTGTGCCTTTAAGTTTGATTTGCAGGGGTTAAATCTATCCCATTCAATGAAAATTAAGTGGAAATACAGTATTTTCCAATGCTGTGTTTAAATGTTTCATAAATTTGAATGAATTTCTCCAAGATATTAACATGTCATAATTATGACTTATATTTTTTATTGACAGAAAAGTGTAAAAGTAGCAGGAGGAGGAAGAGAAAGCAGTCACGACGGGGAGACATCACCAGGAGGAAATATGGCGGGAAATGAAGTAAATAAGTCGCCAAACAAAAAGGAGTGAGTAATTATACAATGCTTGGTTTTTATGAGAAAATAATTACAATGCACCCAGTCCTCAATTTGTACTCGCCTAATTGTGCTTGCGGGGGCTGAGCTTTGGCTCTTTGGTCCCGCCTCTCGACCGTCAATCAAGTGGTGTACAGATTCCTGAGCCTACTGGGCTCTATCATATCTACATTTAAAACTGTGTATGGAGTCAGCCTCCAACACATCACTGCCTAATGCATTCCACCTACATCACTGCCTAATGCACATCTTATTCTAATGCAATAAGACACTTGAAATTTGCCATTGGAAGGTGTTCCAAAAAGGTTATTCATCATTATTATCGTGGGGTGCCGTGGGACCCCTGTTGAGAAACGCTGTCCTAAGCATTCTGTGCTTTTTACTTCATTATGTACTGAAGATGTGGATGGGAAATGGTGAACAGTAAAAAAAAAAAAAAGTTAATTGTTAAAGTGAATGGGTAATATTCTGTATTGTTAAAAGGTTTGTAAGTCACTATGATGGAGAGAGAAACAAAGTTCATGTTAGTTTTTCAATAGGATATTAAATGGGTTGTCTGTTTATAGTGACTTGAGAAAGTTGTTACTGTTATAAATTGTTAAAAATTACTTTTAACTTTGGCAGACCTGTTGTGGAAGAAACCAAATTTGATGACGAGAAGAGGAAGCTGAATGATGAACAGACACACAAACACCACATGCAGAATGGTGAAGTTCAGCCAGATGAAGTTCAAAATGAACAAATACAAGCAAAACGAATAAAAGAATCTTTGCAAGAACAGGCGGTAAATGGCGTGAAAGAAATGGTGCCGTTGGAGAAGAATAAAGAACCAGAGCAACCCAAGAAAGTGGAGGAGGATGAGGAGGAGGAGGAGGAAGAGGAAGATGATGTATTTGGTGCATTATCCATCTTCACCTCTGAGGTGTTTGCAACCTTGAGCTCTCCTGCCGAGCCTCTAACACGTGAAGAAAGAAATCCACGCCCGCTTTCAACAAATGGCGTGGACCCAGCGAATACCATGAGGCTTTTGCAGGTGAGTCCAACCAGGCTGTTCGACGTGGCTGCTCGCAGCCTGACTTTAGAGTCTCGGCCTGGTTGATTTTCTGATTACTTATGCCGCCAAGGTATAGAAAATGGCATTTATTCCCCTCAAACACTTTTACCTTTTCTCTCAGACAGCTTAGGGAGGACATCTTGAAGGTACAGTACTTAAGGCTGCTGATTCCTTATCTAAGAGGTGTGACACATTGTTTTATAAGTCAGCTGCCATCAGGTATCTTTATGACATCTTCCCTAAGCTGGGACAAAGTTTGAGAGAAATAATAACTATTTCTATATTTTGGAGATGAAAATTAGAATTAGAAAATAACATGACCCAGGAATAATTTTTGTTTTGTTTACAGTTATGAGTGCATTATGCAAATCTTTCTTGGATGAAATGGCTACATAATTAAGAAAGTCCACAAAGTGCAATTGCATTTTTGTTAGTCACAGACCCATAGTCTTTGAGTCTCAAGAAAAATATTAACGTGGGAACCAGGAATTTTAGTAAAAACATTTCTTTAAGAGTTTTCTTAACTACGAGATACACAGGGAACCTGGGTGCTTTTAAACGATGAGTGGTGTAAAGTAGAGTGTACTGTATATGAAAGAATTCTTAGTCTTGTAAAGCCACTAGCGCGCACAGCATTTTGGGCAGGTCCTTAATCCTAAGCCAAGTTTTTTGGGATTAATTTTTCTCCTGAATACGACCTGCCAAATCGTTTAACAACAGGGTGCCCATTCACTGCTGGGTGAACGGAGGCTACAGTTAACGATTGGCACTCGGTCAATCCTTCCCGGTTAGGATACGAACCCAGGCCAAAGCGCTCGCGAAGCGCCGGGCGAATGTTTTAATACTGCACCACTGGGACTGCTTAAACTTATGTCGGACAAAGGGTTATTTAGTTTTGCTTCACTTGCTGAATTATTCTTTTGATGGATGTTTGTTGCAGCAGTAACTCTTGTTGATTGTGTAACATCCAGGGGCCAGATTCACGAAAGCACTTACACAAGCACTTACAAACTTGTGCATCTTTCCTCAATTTTTGATGGCTTTGTTTACATTTATTAAACAGTTTACAAGCATGAAAACTTCCCATTCAACTGTTGTTATTGTTATAAACAGCCTCCTGGTGCTTCGAAGCTCATTAACTGTTTAATAATTGGAAACAAAGCCGCCAAAGATTGAGAAAAGATGTACAGGTTCGTAAGTGATTGCGTTAGTGCTTTCGTGAATTTGGCCCCAGGTACATGCACTTGCCAGGTGATGCAGGATGTTGTGTTTGCCAGCATATATGACACGCCTAATATTCAACGAATATTTTGTGGAAATTTATATTGGTATATTTCATTATACATTTAATGAAAGTGATTTTCAAGTGGTTTTATATGGAAAAACATGTCACTTTGTTTTGTTGACTTTAATGTAAATATAACGTTAGGTTGGTGGTGGTGGTGAATCAAAAATACTTGTCCTATCTGCAGGCAAATACTTGCCTTCCTTGCCCGATTTATGCAAGTGGCCTCATTGGTTCACTCCTGTGAGCCAGTAAATTAATCTGATAATTTTTACTTTAAACTGAATGGATTTTCAGTAGGTTGGAATGTTTGATATCCCGCTAAAGGTAGGAATATCAAGATGTACAGATATAGAAACTGTTTCTTTACCGGCTTGAAATGACACGGTCCTTTTCGTACAGTGGTTTTGTCCTTGGCCCACAACTGAGGGACCCGGGTTCAATCCCCAGACAGGACAGAAATGATTGGGCATGTTCCCAGACAGGACAGAAATGATTGGGCATGTTTCCTTTTTACCTGATGCTTAGGAGCTAGGCAGTTATTGTAATTACCTAAGTGTAGTTACAGGATGAGAGCTACGCTCGTGGTGTCCCGTCTTCCCAGCACTCTTTGTCGTATAACACTTTGAAACTACTGACAGTCTTTCAAAGCGTTATATGACAGAGTGCTGGGGGGAACTCGGTAGCTGGCCTAAGGAAGCCTCGATGAGCCTAAGTACAGCTTCCTGTCCCCAGCAATGGAAATTCTAATAATTTAATTTGCATTTTTATTTTCTTGCATAGGACCTATTGACATACGATGACGAAGAACCAGATGTAACTTACGGTCTTGGTCCAGTAGACGCTCATGGGAGGTTAGCAGTAGTTTCACACCTACTAGCAGCTTTGGTCACTACCCTTGACCCACAACACCTGCGGCGACTTGCTACACGAATCATGTCGGACTCTTGCCTTTGGGTTTCTCGTCTCTTTAGGTGAGTATTTAGACAAATCTAATGTTCTCGTAAATAACCCTTGGCTTATTTTATTTTTGCTCTCGTGGAACAATCATTTTATACCTTAATCTTTTCCGAATATATATACATTATAATGATTGCATTAGCACCCCTTGGTGTTGATTTTTGTAAAGCTTAACTACATTCATGCAAATTGTAGGATTGTAGAAAATTATTTACAATTTTGGAAAAAGCTAAGTCATAATCTATCATTAAGTTCTCAAATAACAAAAAATGTGGATTTGCATTGTCAATTCCACCACACTGAGTAATACTATATTGGATTGGTATTTATATACAGTACCTTAAAATTTATTCTATATCATATTCATAGTTGTTTCTTTTCAAATCCTTATCGTATGAATACAAATTTAAAAGTACAGTATATTTAAAAAGTTGTGTTGTATTTTTACGACATACTTTACAGTACGTACCCAGTACAATATTTGATTATATGTAGGCCAATTTTTTTCTAGATTAAAAATTTTGCAGATATTGTACTGTACTGTAATATAGAAAGCCAAATAGAATTCCTAGCTTGGTTCTTTCTTTTGATATTTGATAATTATTTGTGCTATAGAAAATATACTGCACTTATTAACTGATTATATATTGCTTTAATTATCGAGTGCTATTAGAGTACTCTTTATTAATAATTAATTAATTAATAAAAAGTAATTCATTAATGTAATTGCAAATTGTGATGTTATTTTCCCTATGGTGCTGTAACTATTGAATTCATGTCTTAGTATCTTGTCATAGTTAGTTTAGTTCATTTATTATGCACCCTATACCCATCTTGTGGGCGGTAGTGGAAAGGGTTACAGAGGCACATAATGGGCTCAGGGACTGAGCCCCACAATTCATTTAGCTAAGCAAGTTACAATCTTGATGAGCTAGTTACAAAATTCAATATATAAATTGTCATAAATATGTCATAAATATCATGTCATAAATATGTATATTGTAAAAATGAGATGTGCTCGACAGGATTCGTCTTTTTCCTCCATACAAAATGATCACGATTCTTCTAACGTTATTCTGACTTATCCTGACCCCTTCCCAGTGCTATACAGTCGTAATAGCTTGGGGCTTTCTCCTGATAGTTCGCTTCCCTTCCATACAAAATGATCACGATTCTTCTAACGTTATTCTGACTTATCCTGACCCCTTCCCAGTGCTATACAGTCGTAATAGCTTGGGGCTTTCTCCTGATAGTTCGCTTCCCTTCCATACAAAATGTAGAAAATGACTCGTAACATTGGGAAACTTAAGATTTTGCATCGTTTATAATATGTTTAGTAGGAGTGTTGCAAATGGTGTAGAGTACTCTTATCCCAGGTACTTTGAATCGACGGCATATATCCACGAGGACGTACGAGAAGGAATCGTGAGAGTGTGCCGAATGCTTCTTCACACTCGGTATCCAAAATACACAACGGAGGGTTATCAAGCAGTGTATGCCAGGCCTCCTGTTATATACACTAGCAGTACAGTCAGACCTGGCCTCCCACAACACATTGGAACTATGGTAAGATTTCTGAATGCTGTTGTAAAGCTTGTTGTATTTCCATATTAACATTTTGCAAGTGGTTATATAAATGACATTTGTCGGCAAATGTTGCATTTTATTATTTACGATTCTTGGCGGCGGGGATCGTATTCCAGGGACCTGCCCGAAACGCTATGCGTACTAGTGGCTGTACAAGAATGTAACAACTCTTGTATATATCTCAAAACAAAATCAAAACCAAAATTTGTATGAAAGTTACAAGAAAAGAAGAGAAAATGTTAGAGAAAATAATGGTTGGATAAAGTTGACCATATACAGTAGGGAATAATGAAGAATTTTAGTTAGTTTCTAGTTTATTCTGGCTCTAATCTATTCTAGCTGTAATACACTACACTGGCTTATTATACTTTGAACCTTCGGTCGTCTCTTATATAATTCTTTTTGGTGGTCTTGAGTCGTTGTCTTTTCTTCTTCAATCCTCTTCTTTTCACAATATATGTTGTGTGGTCATTGCCAGTTATGTGCCTCTTGACTGAAGTGCTAAGAAGGTGGGAACTGCAGTGTGTTTACTGTACTCTTTTGTCATTATGCATGTGATGCTCTTCTACAATGCTCTCCTACAATGCTCTCCTACAATGCTCTCCTACAATGCTCTCCTATAATGCTCTCCTACAATGCTCTCCTACAATGCTCTCCTACAATGCTCTCCTACAATGCTCTCCTACAATGCTCTCCTACAATGCTCTCCTACAATGCTCTCCTACAATGCTCTCCTACAATGCTCTTCTATACAACGCTACATTTTAACTAGCCAAGTGGCCCCTGCACCCAGTGAGTGTGGGAAGTAGCGATGACGACTGATGCTCAGTGCTTAAAGATTTGTGTATACATGATTATAAGTATGATTGATGAATGTATAAATATAATTAATACACAAGAATATAGGAAACTGCAGAAGGCAATCTGTCCATATGAGGCAGTTCCTCTTTTATCCAGTCTAACTGGTAAATATACTGTCTATATATTTACTATAATTCTATACTATATATTCACATGTGCTATAACACTGTATATTTACTATAATACTTTATATTTACATGTACTATAACACTATATGTTTACTATAATACTATACAGTATATTTAATATAAAACAGAACACTGAATTAGACAATTCAAATCAAAGACGACGACTGGACATAACTGAAGCATATAAGTGAATGAAAGGTATAACATTGTGAATACTATACTGTAAATTGCTGTAAAATAGGGTGAGTAACAATGGAGACAAATTGGATAAATTTACATTCTAAAAAATACAGATAAAGGCTGGTTTGGAAAGACAAAGATTTTTAGATTTAGGGAACAGAGGCCAGATTCACGAAGCAGTTATGCAAGTACAGTACTGTACTTACAAACGTGTACAACTTTCCTCAATCTTTGATGCCTTTGGTTACATTTATTAAACAGTTTACAAGCATGAAAACTTGCCAATCAACTGTTGTTATTGTTATAAACAGCCTCCTGGTGCTTCCGAGCTCATTAACTGTTTAGTAATTGTAAACAAAGCCGCCAAAGATTGAGAAAAGATATGAAGTAAAAAATGTCAGCATTAAGAAGTGTTCAAAGACAGGTTGAAGATTGTTATGGAACGTAACTCGGTACAAATGTTATGTCAATCTATGTCGTGTTTTCTTAACAGTTGGGTCTTGGGTCTGGGTGCGTACGTGTGGTCCCCTGCAACACTGTAGTGGGCTCTCCAGTAGCAATGGACACGGCTGCGCTGGACCGCATGATGGCCGAAGATTTGGCTGCACAAAAGAAGCCATTCCTTGTCATTGCTAATGCAGGTTAGCTTAAATTGGCAGTTTTCTTATGTATAATTTTTCCTTCAAGATATGTAATTTGGTAGAATATCTTAATACGAGACTGATAGTCTGCATTTTTGGCTCACAATTGGAGGTCCTGGGTTCAATTCCCGAGTGAGACAAAAATGGTTTTACACGTTTCCTTTCATCTAATGCATCTGTTCACCTAGCAGCAAATGGGTACCTGAGAGTTAGACAACTGTTGTGGGATGCATCCTGGGGAAAGGTTGGTAGTTTGACCAAGGTGGACTACGATACAAGCCTAATTAGGTGTAGGCTTCCTGTCCCCAACAATGGGAATTACAGTTTAATTGAACGCTGATGTATAGAGTCCCCTAAAACCTCTGGATGGCATAGTTCCACACCTAATGTGGATATTCCCTCAAAATATTTATGCATCTTCAAATTATATGGATTCTTGTTATAGCAAATGATGTACAGGAATATACTTTGGCACATACAAATATATATAAACACATTACACAAACACATCTAATAGTAAGGATTTTATATTTAGTTATTTAATCTATTTTTATGTACAGTGGCACCTTGATTAACGAGCGGCTCTATCTACAAGCATTTCGAGTAACGAGCGAGCCACTCGCAGAACATGTCTCTCTACTAACGAGCTTTTCCTCGATTAACAAGCGTTTCCGCTGGTTCTCGGACACCTTTTACGACAGTTTTGTTGTTTCGACAGACGAGTTTTCCACATGATGAGCTCGGCGCCGGAACGAATTAAACTCGTTAATCGAGGTGCCACTGTATTGTAAATTGGCCAATAGTGTTACTGACACAAATACTGTAACTAGCCTGGCTTAAAATATGGAGAGGAGAAGGTGAGTGCCCATATAGCATTGAATATGACGGAGTGACCTTTCATGTCTTAAGTCCTGCTGAATTGTGTGTGGACGTTAGAGTTTAATGTTGTATCTAATTTTGAAACTGGAAGAAGGCATCTTGCAGTAATGCTACTTTCAGTACAGTATCTTCTCCGTCAAGGGAGGCGACAGCAGAAGTTTCCTCAGGATGCTGTATAATCACACTGTCTTATCACACTTTCAAGCTCTCCAACATCCTTCCCCCCCTCTCCTCTCCCTATCCTTTTTTGTATTATTTCACTTTTATCCTTGAAGATAGTCGTCTTCCTCTACCATATAATTTCTCTTTATTTCACCTTTAGATTCTTCGCATTAAACAATTCTCAGGCATTCTACTACAGTTACAGGAATTTAATCTCACGTCCCTAGAAGACAAGAGAGTTAGGGAAGACATAACCATCTATAAAATTCTCAGAGGAGTTGACAGGGTGGACAAAAGACAAACTATTTAGCATGGACAGAACATGAACAGGGAACCACAGGTGGAAACTTAGTACTCAAATGAGCCAGAGAGACATTAGAAAGAATTTTTTCTGTTAAGGTAGTTAACAAATGGAATGTACTAGGCAGTGATGTGGGTGGAGGCAGACTCCATACACAGTCTCTTATGTAGATATGATAGAACCCAGTAGGCTCAGGAACCTGTATACCAGTTGATTGACAGTTTAGAGGCAGGACTAAAGAGCCAAAGCTCAACCCCCTGCAAACACAACTAGGTGAGTACAATGTATTACACTTCATCCATTCCACTACTCTATTTTTCACTCATAACCCCTTCACTCATACCACAGCTCTCATATACTCCCTCATTGTTAAACATGTCCCACATACCCCAAATCTTTTCCCCAAGAAGATAATTTCCACCGCTTGGAAAGAGGCGGTGCTCAAGAATACAAGTCCAAGTCTCGCTTAAACATGTCAGGACTGGGAATAATATATGATCTGCACTTTTTTGGCTCCCACACTAACATTTTCTTTCATTGTACTATTCACCTCTTCTACAACTTTTACCCACTAAGTATCTTTGTCACATGCCATACTCCTACTTCAGGGCAGGCCTTTGGTAATTTTCCTGGTGTATTGGTTCAGGTACCACAAAGACATCCACAAAACCGAGATCCACACGAGTTTTGTGGATCTTTCTGTAGTACCAGAACCAGGTTTCTGGTTTTTATTTTTGTATTGGCTTTCTTTAATCAAGGTGGTTTTTGTTTTACCTGTACTTTCTAGGCAGTTTAGGGTTAATTTTAGATCTCCCTTACATTTATCACCCTTACGAGCACATCGGATTTTGGTACCTATGTTCGGTAGTCTTGTGTAGATTCAGAGATGTGGTAGTTTTATGCACATCTCTTTGGTACATGACCCAGTGCATCAGGAAACTTTTGAGGGCTAGCCTGGATGAGGCATCATGTCAATATTTATATCATTAACTCGGAAAGGAAAGCAGCTACATGTAAAGACATGATGTATTACAGGTGGTGGAGCTGTTGGAGGAGTGGACAACGTCGGTAGGATTCAAGAGTTGTGCAATAACCACGAAGCCTGGCTGCACGTTGAAGGTCATGCACTTGCAGCTCTCACCTTGCCCAATGCACCCAACATGGTACAGTGTTCACAAGTGTTTTTGCATTGGCTGGTTGGCTGGACTGGTTGGTTGTTGGACTGGTTGACCAATCCAGCAACCAGGAGGCCTGGTCGACAACCAGGCTGCAGGGGACGCTAAGCCACAGAAGCACCTTAAGATATGACCCAAATTCTCTCATATTAAACACAATAATAAAGTGATGAACTTTTGTGTTCAATATGTTTTCATATACGGCTCCATTCAATTAAAATGAGTTTTGAACCCGTGTATACTCTACTAAAGTTATATTTCAGTACTTCATCTTCATTCCTAGAAAAAACAAACATTGAAATTGCGATTAGTATATTGCAGTGGAGCATGCAAAATCTGACAAGTTTGTGTGGCTACATAAATATTTTTTTAATTTGCCGCAAGGCCAGACGACAATTGCATGGAGTGGGAGGAGTGACATCTGGCTTATTAAATGTCACGCACACCGACAGCTGGTAGTCTCGACTTCCACACATTCTGTGATAAGCAAACCCATTCCAGTGGCTTAATTGCAGTAGAATTATATTTAACCATATTTTGGCTCTGTCAGTCTGCTTAGATGTTAACAATTTGTCATTTATCATAGAAAATCTGCTAAAACAAATGGTAATGACTCCTCTGCTGGAGAATGATTGCTAAAAAAAAAATTTGGATTATTCAAAATTGTGAAATAATTTTACTATATTCTAGAAAAACAAATTAATGCAGTAATGTCTTCTAAAATCTGGCACAATTTTAAGAGTTGCTGAACTATTTACTGATTTTCTAAGTCTGGATTTGTTTCAGTACTCTATAATGTGCTACTGTAATCATGTAAATGTTGGATTTTGAAAGTAGTTCATGCATATATTATGTTTCAATTTTTTTGCTTCTTATTTCATTAAAATCTTTTTATTATACAGATGTAAAATTTTTAGTAGGTTGAAGAAATGTCTTAACACAATTCTTGATTAAAAGTGTGTAAAGTAAAGCATGTGGATTTTAAGTACTGTAGGTCCTGTATTATACAGATACAGTATACAAAAAAAAAATTCTGTAAAGCTATGCCACACATGCTGGATTTCATTACTTCAATTGCAAATGGATGATATTTGTGTTTGTGTCTAATCTTATTCAAAATTAGCAACACAAAAATGATAGTGAAAGCTATTAGTAATTAGGTGTTGACAAATACTTGGCACTCATTACCCCTTAACACGATACTGATTGTAGCAAATTTCTATTTGCAGTCTGCCAAAGTAGGAGATAGTATGACTCTACCACTGTCCCTGTGGTTGGGTGTTCCGTCGCTGCCCTACATTGTATCCTTTTACGACTGAGTAACGGATTATACGACGACCCGGTATTAGCGGAGGATTTGTGTTTTAAGTACAGCAGTCTTCCTTTGAAATAGAAAAGAATAAGGATGGGTAGTGTTGGGTTGCATCATGGAAGCACTAAAAGAAAATACAGTGGTACCTCGGAATGCGATTGTCCCTGTATGCGAGGTTTTCGGAAGGCGAGCAGTATTTACTCCAAAAATTTGTCTCAGAAGGCGAGGGTTACTTCGGGACGCGAGTTTGTTGATACGCGTACAGGCCGACCTAGCGCGTGGTGGTTCGGCGATCGTCGCCCCTCTGCCCCGCCGTCCCTCAGTTTACCATTGTCTCGCGCTCAGTGACTACCCCCACATCAATTCTTCTCGCGGATTTTCAGTGTTTTGTTGGATTTTTGGTGATTTGTCTATACAATTTGTTATTATATATCTCACCATGGGTCCCAAGAAAGCCAGTGGTAAGGATAAAGGCCAGAAAGCTCATGTGAGGATGACAATAGAGGAGAAACAAGAGATCATTCGGAAGCATGAGAACGGTACACGTGTTGTTGAACTTTGTAGGCAGTACAACAAAGCCACATCAACAATATGCACTATACTTAAGAAGAAAAATAAGATTATGGGTGCTAAACTGGCAAAAGGAGTAAGAACATTAACGGCACAAAGACCACAAATACTTGAAGAAGTGGAAAAGTTGTTATTAATTTGGATACACGACAAGGAGTTGAGGGGTGATAGTGTTTCGGAGGCCATTATTTGTGAGAAAGCCAGGGTGTTGCACGAAGACCTTCTAAAGAATACCCCTGCAACGAGTGATGCAGATAAGAAAGAGTTTAAGGCAAGCAGGGGCTGGTTTGAAAAATTTAGAAAGAGAAGTGGTATCCATAGTGTTACAAGGCATGGGGTTATGTGATGTGATTATGGAAGGGGACTCCCCTTCCAAACAGTAACTCCTCTCCTCCTCCCCCCTCCTCACCATCTTCCATACGCCTACAGCACTCGACAGCAAGGTAAGTAATAACTGGAACACAGTTTTGTAGGTTTATTTAGATGAATTAGGTAAATTAGGTATAAAAATTTAGTTTGATGTGGGGTTTTTGGGGTAGTCAGGAATGGATTAATTCATTTCCCTTTATTTCTTATGGGGAAATTAACTTCGGAATGCGAGTTTTCGGAAGGCGAGGCGTCTCCAGGAACGGATTAAACTCTTATTCTGAGGTATGCCTGTAGTTTACTATATATTTTACCATACATTTAATCATATATTTTACCATATATTATACCATATGGTTTATCATATATTTTACCATATATTTTCAATTTTATTATATGGGTTTTATTATATATTACTATATGGTTTACCATATATTTTACTATATGGTTAACTATATATTTGACCATATGATTTACCATGTCCTGTATACAGGGTCTTTACTTTTGTAAACACCTTTGTATACGTTATTGTGGCACTCGGGGGTTCCTTAACGATTCTTGATAGACATTGTACAAGGCATACGAAGCTTCAGCGATTCATGCAGTGGGTCTGACGGCTCTTAGTCTCCATGTGCGGCTGTCTTGTCTTCCTCTGTGGACTACACTTCAGGTACGTTACACTTAAAGTTGGGCAGTATAGAAGGTAGTGATATTAGTCGTGTATATTTTTTAGGCTTTGCCTCGTTGGCCAATAGGCCTTCTGCAGTTGTTTTTATTGTGTTATTTAAAAAGAGTGGACAAATGTTACAATTTCCACCATATACATTTTAAATGGTCTGATGTGTTTACATTTATGATTATTTTTAAATTTGAAACTAAAGAAATGAGTTGTATTGTGGTAAAAATAAATGATGTAAATTGTTCTAACCAGACACTAGGTCAGAGTGGTGTGGTCTCTCGGTTTCAACATTCCTTCGAGTTGAGTCACCATCTTCAGCAGCACCTAGCAACGCTCGCTAGGATACGCCTGCTAGTAAGTACTCGCCGAGTTGTGCTTGCGGGGGTTGAGCTCTGGCTCTTTGGTCCCACAGTGACCAAAGCGGGATTGCTTTGCGAACTTTCATTAGTGCTTGCACCCAGCATATGCAGAAACTTGTGCATTTGCTGCCTATTAGAAGTTGATAAGGTATCTAGTAACACAGTCTTGTTTCTTGGATAAGCAGTGAAACACGAATGAATGGAAATCTGAACTGAAGTTAATTAACAGTACAGCTAAAATTGATGAAAATAAATAATAATTGTCATTATTAGTGTTGTTTATTGTAATATAATTATTATTTTCCAGAGTCCAGCCCCACCTGATGGTACGAGCTTTGTGACTATCCAGGATCTAGTTACTAAACCTATTAGTACAATGGTAAGAATTTGCTCAATCTTTTATTGTTATTACTATACTTATAAATGAATCATATTTATATGATTCATATATGATGCTCAGTTACATGGAAATATCATCATTCATTTATTTTGATAACCCTCATTTTCCACTTTCATGATATGAGGGGGCATTAACCTGAAGAGAAGGAAGGTACTGAAAGAAATCGTCCGAAGGTTTACTTGTTAAACCTGGAAACACCTGAAAGAAGACTAATTTCTGGTAAAGGAAATATGAGACTGCAGAACCCCAGTAAAGGACACCCATGGAACGTTCACCAGATAGAACAAAACATCCTGGTTACAAAATGGTAGTAAAAATTCAGAATGCTCGAGGAACTTTGTAACTGGTCCCAAACAATGCATGGCAGACTCGTGCAGCCTGACGAACAAGAGAGCAAGAATGGATCTGTAAGACTCTGACACCAAAAGAGACTTGCAAAACAGAAGGCTTAACTTCTGAAGGCCAAGGAGGGACTGCTAGGTGAAATACATCTCCAAGTACTGTGGCAAGGCAGGTGCTTAGGCCCTGCTGGTCGGCCAGCTGTTTGTTCCTGATCTGGGAGTGTGTAGATGTTTGCTGCTTTAACAGCTTTCTTTTAAGTTTTGTCAACAGATGAGAATTTGGATTTGGGGCTTCTGGGGGTCTTGATGAGGGCCTCTCGTTTCTCGTTGGATTTCCTTCATTCTTGCCAAGTTTGTATGCTTCTGGGCATTTGGTGTGGTTGCTCATTTGCTCAGGGCCCCCCTTCTGCTGTTCTTCTTCCACACATCAGCCCAGTCTGCCTTTCTTTTCTTAAGCCGGCCTTCTCTGTCAAGGTGCTATTTCGAATGAGCTCGGGAAGCTTCTGAAGGGTCCCTCTAAGAAATTAAATGTTGAATGTATTGAAATGGCCATGTCTGGTGTATCTTTAGTAGCTCCCTGTCCTCGCTCTGTTCCCTTCTTTCACATTGAGTTTTGCATGGGTGGTTCCAGAGTTAGAGGGCAGACTGGCCGAGACCTCGGGTGACCTTGGTTGCTATCTGGTGGTGGCCAGAAACGTCCTAGTCTGATTATTTACCTTGCAGCAATGATTGTTTGCTTTGTTTACCAAGGGATGCATAATGTCCTTCAAGCAGAGACTTGTTCTGTTATGCCTGTAGTTTCAGGCAAGTTTTTCTGATTCCAAAGCTTCCCCCCACCCCTGTCTCGTAGAGCAAACCAGATTCTTGTCCTGGCTCACAGTAGGTGGCGGATAAATCTCAGAAGTTGAGTGTGTTAGGTTAAGGCTCGGTTATGATACTGCAGCTAGGCTCAAGAGCTAATGGAAGATCACCTGAAAAGAGCATCTCGCATATGCTTAATTTTTACTAACCAATAAATGAGGCCACCATCGATAGGTGAGGCCACCGCCCACTGAGAGGTTCACCACCCACTTGGGTAGCTGCCTCTCAAGATGATGCTATTGCTCTAATTTAATTCCTAAAGTGTAGCTATGATCATAGGTATCTTTCAATCTCTGGGGAAAAAGTAATAATAATTCTTATGATATTATGACACTTGCATGCAAAAAAAGTAAGGGAAATGCAATTTTTTTTTCATGCAAACCTGGAGAATGCCAAGTCAGAGGGTCATTTGGTCCATTGGCGGTGGCGACATTTATTTGCTGACAAGCCAAGTCTAGCAGTGAGCTGTGATGATGATGTTTATGGCGCTTATATGTTTACTGTTTCACTTTAGTTTAAATAATGTATAGTATGCTGTAACTCTATTTACACACAACTAAAAAAAAAAATAATAATTTGTGTACTGTATACAGGCTTACAATGTAATGTGTACACGCATATTGCATGTAAATCTATTCTTGGCACAGCTCAAAGGAAGTGTCTTGCAACCCACTCATTTGCTGCTATTCTGTCTGATAACGTCGGCCTGTAATGGATTCCAAACATTGGCGGAAAACACCAAATTGTGATTCGATAATTGCTTTCCTGGTGGTACAAGATAACCGCCACTGTGGTAAGGAAATTAAAAGCAGTAGTTAAAAACAGGAAGGTTAGTAGTTTGACTTGGGGGATACCTCAATACAAGCCTAAGGTATGCATAAATACATAGGCTCCTTCTCTTCGACAATGGAAACTAAATTAAAAATAAGTAAACCCAGCTTCCTACAAGGTCCATACTTCCTACATATTACTGCCCTCCCATCCCAGGCCACTAAAACCATTTCATGTTAATTTTATTATGTGCTTTATGCTAAAAGATGTGAATATTTGTACTCGGTATATATACATTAAGAGTGATTGATTGCTTACTTGGTAGCTGTTTGTAGTTCGACAGAATACTGCTGGGGCTGTATTTACTACACTGCATCCCAAGCACTTATGTCTCCTGGGTGATTCCTGCTCCCACTGGGCACTTCCTGCTCCCACTGGGCACTTCTTGCACCTCCACTGGGCACTTCCTGCCCCCACTGGGCGCTTCCTGCCTCCACTGGGCACTCCCTCCTCCCCCCCCCCTCACTTGGCATTTTCTGCCTCCCCTTACTGAGCACTTCCTGCACCTGCTGTGGGATTTATTGACTCCCTCAGCGTATGCACATTTTAAACATAATTCTTAAGATTAAAATAGTAGGCTAATAAGATAGAAATAACAAAGTAAATGATGTATTCTTGGCTGGTAATCGCTGTAGTAGTAATATGTGTATGTGGCTCCTGGTGCTGGTTCTGTGCTATGTGGGGAGACAACAGGAAAAGTGCTACCTTAATTTACCTGTTGAATAGATCAATCTTGGTACATTATGGTAAAATTACCGGGTAAATGTATTTATAATGCAGCACGCACTGGTATCGGTTATATATATTTATTTAGCCTAACCTCTTAATTCTGGTATCTTGTCACTGCTTTAAATTATTATGTGACAAGAATTGTTACTTTATTATTTATTGTTGTGAATTTATTTATTGCAAAATTTATATTTTATTTGATCTTTAAACAATTGCAATGTATCTCTGAAATATTAATTAACCTAGTTAGTTATAGTTAAGTAGTAAGTATCTTTTACTTAGAGGTGGACTCGAAAACCCATTCTATAATCAAATTCCTGTAACGGAAACAATTGGTGATAAACATCTTGGCATGGATCCCTGACAAAAATAGTGTATCGCAAACCGTCCCTTAAATCTCAGTGTAGAAATCCGGATGCCCAAAGCCATTGACAATCTTTTTAAGATCTTATATCCCCCCTCATTGGGCTGGGGGCACTGTATTTTTATATAGTGAACTGTTGAAGTGGTGTTGATTTAGTGAAATGGCATCTGACTTCGTCGGCTGGTGGCGTTGTGTGTGGCCAGTAGCTGCCTGTCCTCTTCTCCGCTGTTTATATAACTTGGCACACACTGATTTCACTTTAAACTGTGTGCCCTAATGTTTATATAGTTTTATAAAACACATAAAGATTCACAGGGAGGGGGGGGGATGCAAACGGGCTGATTTATTCAGCTTGTACATCCTCTTTGTGTGTGTATGTTGGTGGTTATGTTTTGACTGGTGGCAGTGTCTGTCCACCAGCTGTATCCCACCGACTGTAAACAATGGGTATGGTTACCCACCTGGGTTTTAAACATTGATTATTTACTCCTGTTTACCAAACATTTGGGGTAAACGGTTAACTATTAATTATATTCATTTTAGAGTATTCCCATATTATGCATATAGCCATTGGTTTTAATAATTTATTCTGGTAAAACTATTACAGATGCCTCCATTGTGTAGAACATTACAAAATTGTTGATGTCTGCTGATCCAGCAATCCCTCTAATGTCTTAGGAAGGCTTGGCTTGGGTCTAGAAATACATGTAGCTTGATCTGGTCCATTAGCTCTATCAAAGACCATGTAGCTCTTTGTTCTATATATAAGGCCCTTATAGGTCTGCTATAACTAAGACATACTGTACTCTATCTTAGGTGGATATTTTCCACACCCACTGGCCACTTCCCGCACTCGCTGGGCACTTCCCGCACTCGCTGGGCACTTCCCGCACTCGCTGGGCACTTCCTGCTTCCTGTACCCACCGGGCGCTTCTTGCTTCCCCCACACACCAGGCGCTTCCTGAACCTGCTGGGCATTTTTATCCTCCTTATCCTTATGACAATCTTCCCTGCACCCCATTGACAATGAGGGGCTGGGAGGCTTGAGGCAGTGTTTACTATATTGTAGCCATGGAAGCCATGCTAGTTCTCCCAACTCCTCAACTATTTCCACTGCCACGTTTTGTACTTTGGTAGGCACTTCCCCATTTGTTGCACTTGACACATTATTTAGTGTGCAACTAAAAGCCCCAAATAATGCAAGCCAAAATAACACATTTTAGTAACACACAGAAATCACAATAGCATGATACATCAAATGAACAAATCCACAAGGGCTGTGATGCGGGTTCGAACCTACGTCCAAGAGGATCCCAGACGCGCCTTAATTAAGGTGCGTCTGGGATCCTCTCGGACGTAGGTTCGAACCCTCATCACGGCCCTTGTGGATTTGTTCAACACATTATAGTTTTTGAGGCTGATAGAAGGTGGTGGTTAGTGTAGGTACAGATTAAGAGCTACACTCATGTTGTCCCGTCTGTCCAGTACTCTTTCATGTAACACTGGCGCGTGTGTGTGTGTGGGGTAAACACACACTGCCATTATTGCATCATGTGCATATGGCTTCCATCCGGGTAGCCTGAGAGACTGGTCAGTCAGCTGGATAAATAATATTACCTTGTATGTGAAGGGAATATTTTACTTACCACAAGTAGCCACACTAAAGTTTTATATACTCTACAGTATATATATATATCATAATTTGTATGATATTAATGGATTTTTGTTATATTTGCAGCAACTATTGGAGACTGTAAGTGGGTCAGTGGTGTTCCAGTATGTAGATGAAGTCAACGCTGGTGGGAAAAACTCCGAGTACTACGACAACCTGAACTCCTGGGTAGGTGATCACATCGCAGTACTCTACGTACTTTTACAGGATAAGGTTTAAGCTCTTGGTGTGGGTTTCTGTTTTCTTTGCACATTTATATTATTTATGCAATAATATTTTATCTAAACTTTGCTTAAACTACCTTTTTGTCCTGCAGTGCATTCTTGTCATCCACAGTTTATTTCTGTTATTATTATTATTATATACTGTGTTTCTTTTAAGACTGTATTGGCATAGTATCCCATGTTGTTTTCATTTTAACGGAAGGTTTCCATTATTCATCCTGTTATTTTCTGGATGATGCTACATTTGCTTTATTTACCCTCTTAAAGTTGAAGATTGTCTTGACATTATTATTCCTAGAACTTTTACCTCGTCACTGTTCTCTGAAGAGATCTTGCCGCATTTTATTTCTTAGAGTTATTTAAGGTTATTATTTTGTCCATACCAAGGTATAGTGGACAGAATATGCCACTGTTGAACTGTTTTTTTTCTTGTTTCTTGTTTAAAAACTATCTTGAAATCTTGTTTTAATTTTTCTGTAATTTCCACCGAGACCAATCTCATTCTGATACTTTTGGGAGTCCTCGGCAAAGGATGACACTTGCACGGAAGGTACGCGAACAAGGGGACACAGGTGGAAACTTGGTACCCAAATGAGCACAGGGATATTAGAAAGAACTTTTTTAGTGTTATCAAGTAGTTATCAAATGGAATACATTAGGCAGCAATGAAATCATCAATGAAATTTGTATATATTTATAAAGTGTCATTTTCTCTCCGACAGCTGGGTCAGGTTGTAAGGAGAGATGTTGGCACCATACCCCTGGAGTTGGTGCAGCTGGAGACGGCAGGCTTGGTGCTCCGTTGGAGTCCAATGGAAGGCCCAGATACACATCACATAACCTTGGCTGATGTTGATCATCTCATTCACTCCTTACATCATCAGTTGGTATGTTAAAGTTATGGCAAAATTCTTGTTCATTTTTCATCCTTTGCTGTGTTGACTGGGATGGGTTGTGAGATATTTGTTATGTTCAGTGAGCTGTTAGTTATTCTGATTAAGCATTCATCTAATAAAGACCTATGTGGTGAGTATCTTGAGGTTATCTTGAGATGATTTCGGGGCTTTTTTAGTGTCCCCGCGGCCCGGTCCTCGACCAGGCCTCCACCCCCAGGAAGCAGCCCGTGACAGCTGACTAACACCCAGGTTCCTAATTTACTGCTAGGTAACAGGGGCATAGGGTGAAAGAAACTCTGCCCATTGTTTCTTGCCGGCGCCTGGGATTGAACCCAGGACCACAGGATCACAAGTCCCGCGTGCTGTCCGCTCAGCCGACCGGCTCCCCCCTAAATGTCAATTATTTTGTAATTTTCTTAGTCTTAGCCCTTGGTCTGCTCAGTTATTTTAAAAGTACTTTTTATCATAGTGGTGCTCATTACAAAAAATAGTTAACAAATTTAATGGGGAAAATTCAGCTGTGGCAATTTGTGCACAGAAAGAAGTTATGAATAATGATCAGAGCAGTGTGAAGGTTAAGGCAAAGACACTAAACAGTTGAACTCTCTATTGGATGACATTTGGGTAAAGTGAGATCTTTTGTTTCCTTCATTTATTCTTTACATTGGGGATCCCAGGTTCGATTTCCAGGCAGGACAGAAATTGTTGGGCATGTTTCCTATCGCCTAATACCTTTTGTTCACCTAACAAAAGTATATGGTATATGGGTATATGGTATATAAACAACAGTATATGGGTGTCCAGGGGTTAGGCAAATGTTGTGGGGTTGCATCCCGAGTAAGGTCAGTAGTTTGACCTTGGATGGACCTAGATTCAAGCTCAAAGTATATACACATTCTCTGTGTCCTCAACAAAACAAATTATTATTTTGCAAAGGCTCACATGGCTTAGTAGTGTCTTTGCTTCATCACTTTCTTTACTTGTCATTTTTCTTGAATTTTTCTACAGGATATCCTAAATGCAACGGTTGAACAGCGGAAGACCTTCACCGACTTGGTATCGTCTGCAAACAATCTTCAGTTAGTTGATATTCCTGGCTGGGCAGGACTTGGAGGAGTGCGTTACATTGCTGACCTGTGGCTTGATCAAAACCCAGTGTCAGAGGCTACTAAAGAAGATATTAATGCACTCAATGTTCATTTAGTGTCGCAGCTCAAGGCCACTGATTCTGCATTCTCCTTAGGTAAATAAATTAAAATATTTATTTTACTAGTTAATTTTTTATTGATAATTTTTTTTTTTTTAATTGTGGCAAATAGTTGCTAAACTATAATGTTTGACAGGTGAGGGGAGCGACGGACTGAACTGTGTAAGATTTGGAATGGTAACGGCTGATACCGACTTGTCCGAACTTCTCTCTTTAGTCGTCACCACAGGAAGAGAAATCGAAACATCATCAAGATTCCTCGATCAGATGACTGACATTGTTCGAAAAGGTGTGTACTACTGTATTGTGAAAATCAAATGCTATACTGTATATTAAATAATAATTAAAGGATCTTATTTAACTATTGTAGAACAGCAATTCTAAAAATACTGAGTTTAAATTTTCTCTGCTGCTTTTGTTGGCGTTTCCATTACATTTGAACATAGAATGAAATACGTAATGTACAAGTGGTATTAAATTTATTGCAGGTATTGAGGCAGCAACCGAAGATTTGAAACGGGAAAATGAGGAACGATTATGGCAAGAAGGCATCTTGCGCCACGTACCAATAGTAGGGTCTGTCTACAACTGGTTTTCACCACCTCCGCCTCCGGGCATCAAGGGACGCACATTGGACCTTACAGCAGGAGTTTTAGAGAGTACTGAAAATATCTACCGCTACCACATGCAGGTTAGTCCAGTCTTGAAGTTATTACACCCCTGCACATTATGGAACCAGTCGGCCGAGCGGACAGCACGCTGGACTTGTGATCCTGTGGTCCTGGGTTCGATCCCAGGCGCCGGCGAGAAACAATGGGCAGAGTTTCTTTCACCCTATGCTCTTGTTACTTAGCAGTAAAATAGGTACCTGGGTGTTAGTCAACTGTCACGGGCTGCTTCCTGGGGGTGGAGGCCTGGTCGAGGACCGGGCCGCGGGGACACTAAAGCCCCGAAATCATCTCAAGACAACCTCAAGATAACAAGATAACATTGAAATCACAAGAATATGATAAATCTATGCAAATAAATATTGGGACATACCATGGAATTCAACCTACACCCCTGGTTCCTTGCTAAAATTGAGTGGGGAAGCAGTGACCTAAAATGCATACAAGTATGGTAGAAAAAATACTACCTCATTTTAATTTTGCTGATAATAATATCTTAAAAGCTCCTTGATGGTTTTATTAATAAACTTACGATTAATTCATGTTTTATTATAATTAATGGAATTATAAGAATGTAATATAGAATACCATTGGATTATTTGGAAGAGGTCAATTGAAGAGTGTAGCAGATGAAATGTGGGAAAGCTGCAGGTATTGATAAGGTTCAGGTGGAAAACTTGTATTGGCGAACACAGGTTCCTTGGATAGTATATCTTTTACACATGTATCAGTGTATCTTTCTGGGGGGAGCCCCTACGGCTCCCTGGAGCTTATCGGGCTAATGTGTGTTATGTTAGACCGGGACATTAGCTATGGAGTTCAGACCTACCAGGGACCAACCTGGCCCCTTCAGAGAGGTTTCAGGGAGCAATGGCCCTGGAAAACCCCATATGGTTGGGGGTTTTCCTTATCTGCCATCGACCGGGGTTAGGCACCCAGAAAGGTAGGCGTAACAAAACAAACCCCACATGGTAAAAAACTACAACAAAAACCGAACAGAGAGGTAGAAAACTCCCTACAATCCCAAGGAAAACAATCAAACAATCAATTTACTGCCGCGCCGGTCGTCCGCGCAGCCCTCCCCTCCCCGGGAGGGGAAGGGGGGGGGGCCCCGGACCTCACCACGCCGGCTGCCGTCAGTTCGCAAGCTAGTGTCAACCGGGATAGACACTTCTCTGGCCTCAAATTCCTTGGCGGTGTTTGCCTCGTGTGGCGTTCTCTGCTGCTGTTGTGGTGTGCGGTGGCCAGGAGTACTTCATCAGTGCCGGGGCTGCATGCGTCTAGGGCTTCCTTCCCTAGGCGCCCTGTGAGTACTGCCCTTGCGTGTCAGGGTTATCTTCTCTGGGGCGTTCGGGAACCGCTCCCGTAGAGGTTTTTGCTGCTCGGCATTTGCCTCGCTCTTGGGGCCAGCTGGGGCTTGGGGCCCTTGTTTGGCCTTGGGTAGGGAGTGGTGTTGTGCTGGTTAGGGCGTCAAGGTGTTGCGCGGCCTGCCACCTAAGCGGCGACCGGTTCCTGTTGCTCTGGGGACGGTGTACTTTTGCGGGGTTTTTCTTTTGTTTTGTTTTTGGTTGCCTGGTGGAGGTGCTGCCTCGTGGGCCCATAGTTCCCCTGGTATTGTTTTGGTGGCCCTCTGCTAGGCCCCTGTGCTTGTACACGTCCCAGGGGTTTTCAGTATTATCATTTACCCGTGTTTTGTTTGGGTTTCTTAACCGGTTAGCAACACCTTGCCCGGGCTTCCCGTAGTTGCTACCCTACGGGCCCTGGAAACCCCTGTTGGGGTTCGGGGACCCATGGATGAGTCTCCCGAGTTCCAGCCTGCCTTGTGCGGGTTTGAAGGTTGCAGTGTGCCCTTGTCTCAGGGTGACAGTCACCTGTTTTGCCTCCGTCATGCTGCCTGTTGGGTCAATGACACCTTTGACCCGGAGTCTTGCGAGTCCTGTTCTTTGCTTGTGCTCAGGTTTTACTCTGAGGATGTTCCTATTAGAGTACAGGCAGCATCAGCGTTGCATGTTAGATTTAGGTTATTGCAACGCGCTAGGTCGGTTTCCCGCCTGGATGCCCCGAGGCTGCCCCGTTTTGGCTTTAGGGACCCTGACCTGGGGGCGTTGATTGCTATGGCTTTGACTCCTACGCCCTCTGGTCCTTCCCCTGTGGTTCTTCCTGCACCACCCCCCCTGTGTCCGGCTCCGAAACGTATGCGGTTTTCGGCCTTGGCACAGGATTTAGTTGGTGGAGAGACTCGGGCTGCTTCGGGGGCTGCCCCATCCGGGTCGGGGACGGAGGCATTTGAGCCGGTTCCTCCTGCCGAGGCTTCTGGGTCCCACCAGCAGGCCCCCTTGTCTGCCTTTCCCTTGGACTCTACCTTTTCTTCAGGGGTAGAGGGTTTGGAGGACGGCTCTGCCCCGGGTCCCGACGTAAGGGATCCTGGGGCTGGGGGGGAGTCGGCCTGGGGGCCTTGGGCCCCCTGTGACCCCGCTTGGGTGCTATTGCCTTCCCCACGGGGTTTATTGTTGCAGGGGGAGGGGTTTTCTTACCCTCCCTCCCTGTATGAGTATGATTTGGGTTCGGCTCCTCCCCGGGTTCGGTTCAGGGCGCCTTTGGGTACCTCGGCTCCGTCTTTACAGGGGTTTGCTACTTCCCGTCTCTCCGCGAAGGTGGCTCGGGAAGCTCTTGCTGCATACCTCTTGCGAGACCCGGGTTATGCCTCCCCCATGGATCCGTCCTCGTTTGAGTTCGGTTCTTCTTCCCGTTTTTGGGTGCGTTTGGAGGTTCCGGGGTCTTCCTGGCTAGCAGACTGCCCTTTCTTTTCATTGGGGGCGTGGCATGGGTTCTGTCGGACCCGCACGCTTGATTGGCGGGAGACTGCTACTTTTATGCAGGTTTACCTGGGGGGCGAGTTTGAGCACCTTAATGCGTGCTTATTCGCTCCTGTGCTTTCTCGGGATGTTGGCCTTTTCCAGCTTCACGTGCAGGTTCCTCAGCTTTCGGCTTCATTGGTTGCGGAGGAGTTGCGCTCCCGTGGGCATTTGGCTTCGGTCTTGCGTTTCTTTTCCCTTCTCGAGCTCTCTTCTGCTTGGCTCAAGGAGGATGTGGGAGCGTTGAGTGAGGGGCCTTCGTCCGGGGCGCTTTCTTCAAAATATACATATAAAGTAATTAAGGTTAGGTTTAAAATTCATATGAATAAGATAACATCTTTTGGTAAAATGCCATTCTGTATTGCATTTCATTTTATTCCCATCGGATTCTTTAAAATTTAGTTTATGCTCGGAGGGAGCCAAAGTGTGTCTTCACCCATCGTGGCAGTGTGTCAGACGTTAGCCATAGATGTGCTTGTTAATTGATTTGAATATCATATATTGAAGAAAAAGCTATAATTTTTTTCTGGTTAGTTTCTTCTTGCTGATATATTGACCACAACCATAGCTTGTACATCACACTGTACTCCTTTTAAATTAAGCTTATTATATTTTGTACAGATCCGACATGGTTCAGCCCCAACCCGTAATGAGACGAAGCTTCCTCCAGCTCCATCGGTGCAGACTCCAGTGAGCCCATCAGCTTCATCTCCTTCTCATTCTCGGTCATCATCCACTACCTCAGCAAAATCGCCCGGGTCCACACATTCTCGACAGGCGTCTGATCAGCCGTCGGCAGCAACTCTAGACACGAAGAGTGTCATTGCCCCTCCCTTGACAGCTAATGGCATTACAGCAACTGTGCAAAGCTAAATCTTTTCTAAAATCTCTGAATCAGTGTGGTGAGCTATCATTATGGGCTCTGAGGTGAGCAGTTAGAAGTATTTTTTATAAATACTGTTCTCCTTTCAAAGTCTTGAATTGATATCTTATAACACCATTGTCATGTTTTATATTCCCACATACCGTATTACTTTGTGCATGTAAATTTGAGTGATTCAAAGCAATAAGCAGTGTCATGTGTTAGTTACCAACATCATTTGTACTTTAAGTTCCCATTAACCTTTTAGCAGTGTTTTTGGCTAATAAAATTTATATTTTTCTTTGCATTGGAGAATGTTATAAAAGTACAGTAATTAACAAAAATAAAGATACATTATAAATAGCTTTTACATTTGTCATTGTTTAGAATTGTGTTAAATTACGTTAGTGGCTCAAAGCTGGTGCTGTAAGCAAATATCTTTCAGTGTGTTATGCTTAGCTAGCTGCCCTTTATTTTTAACGTAAGGTTAAAATATTCAAATTGTTTTCCACTCTAGTAGGTGGTCTGCCATCTGGGGCCAGATTCATGAAGCAGTTGCGCAAGTACTTACGAACAAGTACATCTTTCCTCAATCTCTGACGGCTTTGGTTACATTTATTAAACAGTTATAAGCATGAAAACTTGCCAATCATCTGTTATTGTTATAAACAGCCTCCTGGTGCTTCGGAGCTCATTAACACTATCGCCTGCACCACGCGCTCACCGCAGACTTTAATGTCATGGGGTTAATGGTGCTGGCGAGCGTGCGGCGACGCCTAAATGTGTATACTAGTTTGTTTTCTCATCTTAATTCTTGTGCTACGTCGTTCGTTTTGGTATCATTGTGTTCGCAATTAAATTCCCTGCAGATGTATATGCATATAATGTCCAAAACCCTGGCGAGACTCCCCACAGCAAAGCCTAAAGTTACCCGTGAATGAGCACTAATTTGTACAGTATACTCGTTCAGTTTGATAACATCAATTTTCATGTTACATCGCTTGTTTTGGTGTAAAATTGTTTGCAATATAAAGCCGCGCATTTTAAACTGGTCTCATAATAATAGAGCAATAACTGGAATTTTAACAAATATTTTAATTTTGGGCACTCATCGTCAAAATTATTTATATCTTTTCAGTGTTCTGACATCAATTTTCATGTTACATCGTTCATTTTGGTATCAAATTGTTTGCAATATAAAGGCGCGCATTTTAAAACTAATCCCCTAATAATAGCACAATAAATAGAATTTTAACAAATATTTTAAAATTTAAACCCAAAAACGTATTTATAATCGTTCAAGTGTTCTGACATCAAGTTTCGTGTTACATCTTTCATTTTGGCATCAAATTGTGCGTATTCTAAAGGCGCTTATTTTGAAACTATCCCGAGGTCGATCAGATAAAAAATGAATTTTATACAAATGTTTTTGTAGTGAACGCGAGTCCGGTCCACGGATAGGACTCAAGAGAAAAAAAATGGACGTGTTCGGTGTCCAAAGCGAGCGATAGTGTTAACTGTTTAATAATTGTAAACAAAGCCGCCAAAGATTGAGGAAAGATGGACAGGTTCGTAAGTACATGCTTAACTGCTTCGTGAATCTGGCCCCTGAATACTGATAAAAGAATTTTCTTTTCTAATATCTTTTATAAATAGGTGAATGCATGAAATAGAGCATATGGTAAAATGTTAAATCCATATTTATATTTAAAATAATTTCAATATTGCTAACATTTTTATAAAGATTGCAAGAATGTATTTTAAATGATCAGGATATAGCGTATTTCTTGATCTATCACGGTCCTGAACACAGCGAAGTGGCTTGTGTAATTCTAGCACTGCGTTGACTTTTGTAGGATCAGTTTTGTACAATTAAATTGGAACCAAACAACTTTTAGAAGCGTTCCAGTACATAACTGAATCATTAGTGATAGATTATTGCTGCTTATAAAATAGAAACTAATTATGGTTGCAGTTACTTATGAAAGTGCAAGTCCAGTGCTATAGAAAGTAATGTCTGATCTTTTAACTAGAATTTTTTTTGGTTTAGTTTGTAAATATCCATCCATTACGATCTTGTTTCCCACTTTCATTGGGTGAGGAATAAAGTGTTTGGGTGCTCGGCCATCTCCTTCCTCTTTATTATAGGGGAGGGGGCTGCAACCTAGTTTCTTCTCTTTTATTGCCGAAAAGAGGGTTCAGCCTAGTTTTCTGACCTTTATTGCTTGGAAAGGGGTTCAGCCTAGTTTTCCGACCTTTATTGTAGGGGAAGGGGTTCTAAACCTAGTTTTCCAACCTTTATTGTAGGGGAAGGGGTTCAGCCTAGTTTTCCAACCTTTACTGTAGGGGAAGGGGTTCTAAACCTAGTTTTCCAACCTTTATTGTAGGGGAAGGGGTTCAGCCTAGTTTTCCAACCTTTACTGTAGGGGAAGGGGTTCTAAACCTAGTTTTCCAACCTTTATTGTAGGGGAAGGGGTTCTAAACCTAGTTTTCCCACCTTTATTGTAGAGAAGCGGGTTCCAAACCTAGTTTTCCGACCTTTATTGTAGAGAAGCGGGTTCCAAACCTAGTTTCCCAACCTTTATTGTAGAGAAGCGGGTTCTAAACCTAGTTTTCCGACCTTTATTGTAGGGAAGGGGGGTTTTAAGCCTAGTTTCCCCAGTCACCTTTGTAGGGTTGTTGCCATTGGTGGGTATTGTGGTTCCCCATCCCCCCTCATCCAATAATTATTTTCTAATAATTATTTATAATTTTCTTTATTTCCTGTTTATATGAAAGTAAATTACAATTTGTTTTTTTTTTATAGTTTAATTTGTTACTTGACAAAGAAGTTTATGGTACAATATTCTGCATTCTTTTGCTGCTTACGTTGTTTTTCATGAGTGTAACCGTCAGATTTTTTATTTTTTTTTTTGCATCATGATGTCCAATGACTTGGACAGAGGGTAGAGTGATGGTCTCCTTGCAGGTCAGCTTTCAATTCCCGAGTGTCCAAATGGTTGGGTACCATTCGTGTCTACTGTCCTATCCCAAATCCTTCTTCTCGTATCCCTTCTTTTGAGTGCTATATACATGCAGTTGTAAAGGTTTAGCGCGCTCTCCTGATAATTACTGTATCTTGCCTTTGCACCTGGGTTTTTGCCAACTTGCAGTTTATGGCGCCTTCATCTGCTTTGTAATACTACCAGTACAGTAGTTCACTTTAAGCACTTTTGTGATGTTTTGTTACTGAATGGAGTTATTGAATTCATTTGTTCCTCACGTAAGGAATATTTACCAGGATACAGATATACTAGTGTGTTTGCCTTCTATTGGGCATTTATGCCCCTCATATGTTGTTAATTATGTTGTTTATGTAGTATTCTGATTATGTATATCTTAACTTGAATGCTTGAGTACACAGCAGCTTTAATTATGTATCTATTAATATTTTCTACACATTCCACTTGTGCTGTGTAGGTCTTTACCCTCAAAGGTGGCATTAGTAGGTAACAATTTTTTTTTTGTTTAATTTATTATAATTGTTGTGTTTGCATTTTATTATACTGAGTGAATGTTTAAATATCTATAAGTTATATATTTAGTTCAGAAGGGATTGTCCTTAGCTTTCCACAAGTGTGTTTTGTATATGGTGTGATTTTTTTTTGCTGTCCTTATGCAGGTCAAGACATTAAGCTTAATATTATTTGGCTAATGTTTTTATTGATTGTAGCCGACGAGTTCCTTGCCCGTTTGTGCTGGTTTCGCTCAAGAGATCGTTTAGAGTGGGTTGTGGGGAGGTCTCTCCAATACTGAAGTTATTGAACAGGTTCATTAAAGTTGTATAGTGAAATTTTATGAAATTTTTTTTCATTTAGTGAATGACACAAGCAGGTGCAAATGTACAGTCATACATGCCCTCTCACATTTAAACACAGATGCTGAAGAAATATAAGAAAATTCACTTTCACAAACAGAGTGGTAGACGGTTGGAACAAGTTAGGTGAGAAGGTGGTGTAGGCCAAGACCGTCAGTAGTTTCAAAGCGTTATATGACAAAGAGTGCTGAGAAGACGGGACACCACGAGCGTAGCTCTCATCCTGTAACTACACTTGGGTAATTACGGTGTCCATATATCAAAAAATTAAAAAGATAAGTGGTGCAAAAACATGCTACTAATTGGCAAACAGACCTTAAAAAATGAGAGCTGGAAGGTGGTGGTCGATATGGCAAATCTGCAAGATGGGAGAAACTGTAAGTGATCACTATGCACAAAATTGTGACGGGACTCGACAAAATTGGAAGAGGGAAATTTGTGTAAACCTGCAACATTGAGAAAAAGGTTGTTAAATAATAAATATTTGTGAAAATTAACTTTTACAAAGATTGGCAGACATGTGGAATAGATTAAATAAGAGGTTAAATAAGAATAAATTAAATAAAGAGGTGACTTCCGGGACGAGCGTATGTCTTGTTTTTCGACCATCCCCCGCGGTCGCTTCTCTCTCGATAGTATTCTTGGCGACTCGGACACTCTTGATATCGTTCGCCTTATGCGTTTCTGTTCTCGTATTGGCATCCTTGGTGATATTTAACGCCCTCTGATTATCCCGCACATTTGGTGGTGCTACATAACCTTCCCGTTTGGTGCCTTCTCTTTGATAATTACTTAAATAAAGAGGTATGTCCAAACCATGAGAAGTATAAGCAATGCACGTGACAAAGATTCTAAGGAAAATGGGATACCATGAGCATGGCGCTCTTCACATAACTACTGTACTTGTAAGAAAGTGCATATACTGGGTAGGTGTACATTTGCAGATGCTGGTGTCTGTATGAATGGATTAATTACTTTCCGAGAATTTTTTAAGAAACCTCTGATCATTGCATTAGTGATTACCATTAAAATTAACTACAGCAAGAATTCAAGGATTGTGTGTGTGTGTGAAAATTTAATGTGATAATGCCTGACGTTATCAGTGAACTTGTTACAATTTGTACAGAAATATTAAAGATTGGAATAAAGCACATGAAAATGCACGAGCAATTTTTGATTTAGGAGTTTCATCTTTGCAATAAAATCTGTACATATACAGTATAACACAATAAATTTGCGGTTTTTCTAAGGTTTTATTTACTGGGTTACAATGAGACTTTTCAGTGGTACGTCGGTGGGTTTTTGTGCAGCTTTATAAGTGTTTTCTTGAATAGGTTGTTATTGTATCATTGTGGTATTAGCAACTGCCTAATGCATTAAAGTGTAATATGAAACGAGTTGACAAAAATTTGAGAGAAAAGTGGCTTCGGTTTTGCTTGTAGAGACTTGAGTTTTACTGACCTTTTTATCCTACTTAAATCTACTTTTACCACAGGAAATTTCAACTAAAGGTAGCTGTTTTTATTAGCATTTCACAGGTGTGAAATTGTTCCAGGTGTAACTATTAGTGTAAAGATATACTAAAAACTTGGAATTAAATCAATTTTTCCTAAATATTTTGTGCCTATACAGTTGGCTCCTTGTGAGTGTGTTCGGCGAATACAAATTTGCTCCCCCACACATTTTGTGTTTTTGTTTGATATTCATTTATAGCAATCTGAACTTGACTCATCACAACTAAAATAAGCTTTAACTTTTTATTATTATTATTATTACACGGAACTTGCCGTGAAGTGTTTTGCATTTTGTTGCTTGCGAGGTTTGTGGCCGGAGTATTTAGTAGTACAGTAGTGTTGAGGGCAAGTGTTTTATGGAGCGAGAAGAAGAAAAGAGATCTTTGGGAGATTTTGAGAATACATCCTTATTTACCTATTGGCTATAGAGCTTGCACTGTGTATGTTCACTATGTATGAGGTATTCCAGGAACATAATCTCTAGTGGAAATCAAGGGCCGGCTGTACAGTGCAGAATATTCATAATTA